AAAGTCCATTTAAGTAAAATTAAAGAAATTTTATCGATAAATAAATGATTTAAAATTCTGTATAACACCTTATATAATATAAATATAAAAGCTCTTTTTGTATATTGACAAAAAATCAAATATACATATATTAATTGAGTAATATAATATTTTAAAACGTTATTAATTCCTATAATTTAGTAAACAAATGAATTATTTTTAGAACCATCGATAAAAGTGAATGGTGTAAAAATATTTTTTGTGATAATTGTTTCTTTTATATTTATTATGAATTAATATATTAGATAGAAAATTAACTAAATTATTGTTTAATATTATTAGTATTGGTCATTTGCCCCAGAAGGCAATTCCATGAAAGAAGGCACTACATGTATTTCACTTACTCATTTTGCATTTTTTTGTTTATAAAGATATATAAACAATTTTTTTAATTATCTGTGTTTTTAATACCTGATGGATTCATACTGTAATTTACAAATCGATATTTAATAAAATATCGACCTTGGTTTCAAGAAGATATAGGACAGATAAGATAGCGCACTCGAAATGAAAACTATAAATTTATCAATATTATTATATTGCGATATTCAATCAAACGATAAATTATCATAAAACATAATAAATATATGGTAATAAATAAAAATATATAACTGAAATTTTATAATATAACAATAATAAAACAAATATGAATTAACTCTTATTCAATTATAAAATTTATTCCAAGGTTAGGTCTATGCAAAAAAAAACATGGGAATATGAAATCACAAAGTGCCTTAAATTCAATTGTTTAAAAAGTGCTTAATCATGGATGAACTATCTATTATTAATCTAATTATTCTAGTATTTTGTTATAAATAATGTGATATAAAATTAGTTTAAATTAATCCAAAATTGTGAAATGGATTTGTGGACAGTGTTCAGGGGGGCTATTTTGTTAGTCGGCGGACAAGCCCCTGAAGATAGTTTGGATTCTTCAGAAAGTGAGTGATAATAAGAAAAAAATAAAAAATGATAATAGGAAATAATAATTTAGATATTTAATGCGTTGGTTATTTTAAGATATAGAATTTCTATTAAAAATAATAATAATATATAAGTGTTTAGGCTTTTTATATTAAGCTGACTGTTGATTCGCCTACAGTTAATTAGGAGAGCGGAAATAAAACCGAACACATTTAGTGCCACTTTAGGTTATGTTGTTTTTTAAGGCTTTTTTATATTTAAGCAAATTATATAAGGTTGTCAAATATCTCCCTTCCGCCTTTTTGTATTATAAACCAAGAGCAAAAAGCGGAAGGGAGATATTTGACAACCTAATATTATCATGCAATAAACAAATAGCCAGATACACCTAAGTCTGTTTTTACATGGTAGATTGGTTCCAGAAGAATCCGTGTAAAAAAAAACGTGTAAAAAAGACATTGATCTTATACAAAAATGGGTGATTTGTTCCTAATCTCTAAAACCTATTAAAATTAGTGAAAAACAAGAATTTTTAGGGTATGCCCCTAAATTAGTGCTATTCACAATTGCTTTGACCAGTAAAATTGTTTGTTCGCGCTAAAGGAGAATTCACTTAAATCTTTAAGCTAGTGTTCGCAAACTATCGATACTATCGATGGTTTAAGACTTTTTCTTTCATAAATACTTTTTTGTGATATGAACATACTTCGCAAAAATTAAATTTGACAAAAAAAATTAAGTACATAAAATTTCAAATCGTGCTAAATGGAATAAAATCGTTTAAAAAAATTAAAAATATTCAATTTTCAAACCGTGTTATATCAAAACCGCGTACAAAAAGACCGTGTAAAAACAGACTTAGGTGTATAAGCTTATGCAAGATTCGACCTCATACGAGAATTAGCCATAGAAAATTATATTAGGTTGGGGTATCTATCAAACAATTTCAGATTTATGTTAGAAAGTGATATATTGTAAAAAAAAAATTGGCTGCTTTTCGTTTGATGCATTCAGTTGTGAGTTACAGGGTGAGAAAATTCAACCAGTTTACCATTTACCGTTTAACATTTAACAGTTTTCTTGAAAAAAAAATTATGATTTTAATACGGTAATATCCAATTTTGTGCAATTTGGTTTCGTAGATTCCGTTCAGGAACTTTTGATGTTTAAAATCTGCCTCGCACAAAATCAGAGGCATGATTTAAGTTGACCGGCATGTTAGTAGTCGTAACATCGCCCTGGAGCTAAAAATCGACCATAAAACAGTTTCAAACTAATAAACCAAAAATAGTGTATTTTTCCCCCAACCTAATGTTTGCAATCTTGGTGAATTAGCAAATTTTCCGAACATCAGTGTACAAAATCTATGCGTTCCCTAATTTCATCACTCTTTTATTCATTTTAAATGAAAATTTATTATCAGGATTTACGATCCCCAACGTGCATGTTAATAAAGAATAAATGTGGAAATAATAAATAAAATAAAAACAAACATCGTCCTGCCGTCGGCGTGGATTATTATTGGCGTATTTTCCGATCATTATTTACACATTACGAGCACGCACCTCCACCGCCTCCAAAGCCACCGCCATGGCGGTCGTTCGGACGTAAATAAATCTCCATAATTTCATTACACTGCCGATTGCATAAATTACTGTGTAGGAAAATTGGATTATGGACGGAAAATATTACACACGAAATTATTTAAGAACAGTAATAGATAAATGGTGGTCTGTCCAGAGGCAAGACGATGATTCTCTTTCCTTTCATTGTTCATTATCCATTAATTTTTTTTATATAATTTTATACATTTTCCTTTCCAAACTTCTGCTTTCATGCTTTCTGGTCTTGTGCCTTGGTTTTCATGTCCCTGTATTTTTTTTCTAGCGTAAGTTGCGACAGACATCGAAATTTTTCAAAAAATATTTGTATCAGGTGAGCAAAAGCTCGTGCTCAACTTAATTTCTCCATCAATATGTGTGCGTTTGTATTATATATGTATTTTGATTCTATTGTCGTCATACATAAAAAGTATTTTGTGACGACAATGGAAAGTAAAGTACTTGCCAATTTTTCAAAAATATTTGTATTCACAAAATCGTTGTTTCTATCGTTGTTAACTTTTAAAAAATTTTAAAAATGATTTGTATTAGACCAACAGAATTTTTTTTTATTTTACCTTCGACGAAGTCATATAGAAAGCAGTATTTTTTGCATTATGGGTCCGATCCAGTTTCCTTTTCTTTTCATAATCTTTCTTTGATTACTATAAGTTGGTGATCGAACTAAATTGTGTTTAAAAAAAAATTCAATAAGTTTTGTGCACGTTTAGAGTTCCAACCTGACATTCCTCCAAAAGATCATTTTTACTTAAATTTTTCTTATTGTTGGTTCATTTTATCTTCTTCATCGAGGTGAATTTTTTTTTACTCATTTTAATTGAATTAATTACTGTAAATTATAAAATTATTGATATTGAAATAGTTTATTTAAGGCTTGTAGATCTTGGGATTTTTCTGATGGTAAAAAAATCCCTTAAATATCCGTTGCGCAATTTTCATTGAAGTCCCAAATCTGGAAAATAATAATTAAGAGCAGTATCAAGAAAAGAACATAATATGAAAATAACTGTAATGATAAAATACTTGGGGTAGCAAAATGGTCAAATAATTTGGAATAAAAATTAGAAAAAAATAATTGTAACTATTGAAAAACTGTTATATCAGATACTATCAGTAGGTATTTCATTATAAAAATATTGTTTGATATCGAAATTGGCAAATTAAGAAGTTAATTATCATAAGCTAAGTATGTTCTTGTTTTTTGGAGTCCATGTTTCTAATCCTTACAGAGCCATGCTTCAAACATAGCATTTTTTTTGTGTATATTTGCAAGTCGAAGCTCGATAGTAGCATTTTTGTATTTTATACTACTGGGTTAATTCGATAAAAAAACTCTTGATTTTTTTTAAAGATATTTTTTTCAAAATCTTAATTTTTCGAACGGCTCCAGAGTATATTTACTGCACTTCTTTACGAATTGTTTAAAAGAAAATTAAGCGTATTTTTAAGTTGATTTTTTATTTATCTCTTAATTCAATGATAAATATTTTAACAATATTCAAACCACTTTGTAACAAAATGACATTAGAGATTATTTAACTTCCCGTAGGGTAAGTTATAGTAATCGCAAAAAAATCGAAAATGAAAATTTTTGCATATTTTTACGTTTTAGAGCTTTCTGAACAATTTGACATACATCAGAAAAAATAGATGTATACATTTCAGATGTTTCTAAACATTTAAAAATTTGTCATTTTTTTTTTAATTTAAAAATCTCGAAAATCGATTTTTTCAGAGTTCTAAAAGAAGATTGAATCTTTTTTAAAAATTGTAATCTTTGGTATGAGAAGTTCCAGCAATTTGCCTTAAGGCACGATGCCATGCAGCACTAGTTTGTAATATTCCATCTTGGACATAAGCAAATTTTTAGTCGCCAATCTAGTGATTGTGGACGTTCTGGTATTAATTCAGAAATATCAGTTTTCAAAATTAAATTAAAGTTACTTATATAATTCGGTGTGGCTGTTTTAATAAAATTCTTTCTTCGAGACTTTTCTAATATAGACATATCTTATATTAGAGAAAGAATAAAGTCCGGTGGAAAAGTTTACTAATAATGAAAATCGACGCGTGGAAACTTATAGCCTTTGTTTTTTTCCCAACAACTTTCGGAAATATTAAATTAGAAAAGTCAGGAGGAGTAGATATTTTTAGATAACGGGGAATTTATTAAATTATATAGAAAGGAATATTTTCTTTATCACTCAAATTCACATTAAATTTTATCAATTCCTGATTAAATATAAATATGACTTGAATAAAAAAAAAACGCAAAAGCAACTCATAACTTCTAATTTTTGTATTTATTTTATTGTTATTGCTTTTGCATTGTTATTTCAGGTAATGCACAATTATATTAAAATTATATAAAACATATTGCAATACGGTTGTATATATATATTTTTTTAATTTCAGTATTTCCTAATGTGCCTGCAGTACCGGGTTTGCCTTGCGTTGGAGAAGATCGTAAGTTCTACATCATTATTTTAGTTTCATACATCACAATAATCTAATTTAACCAAAAATTATATTCTGTTACTAGATGAAAAACTAAATAACTTTGTCTTCATTATTTCTTACTTTGATTTTGTTTTTCCAGGAAGCATCTATAGGAGAGGTGCCAGACGGTGGAGAAAATTATATAGAATCAATGGACATATCTTCCAGGCAAAACGGTTTAATAGAGTAAGTTAATATATAAATATACGATTTTGTTATTAATTTTACCGGTATTTTTATTATCTTATACAAACGTAAACAAAATTGAAAGTTGCTAGTACAAATATAAAAAAATGTATATACAACTACAACTATATTCAACTAAACAATAAAATAAAACAATAAGTTTATAATTTTAAATAATAATTCAAAAAAAGTATATGCAATTTAATTAATTCATTATCACTAGTAGTACGAGTACTTTTCACCAAAAACAGACGTATGAGTAAGAAAGACCAAAAACTCATAAAAGATCATATTACATTATTATAATAAACTGTATTGTCTGTATTCGATGTGTTAAACTAGCATAATCTTCAATATTTAAAAAAAATGATTTTTCTACACTAATTTAAGATCGGATTCTTTGTCAAGATAAATAATAAATTACTATAATTGTTGAGTATTATTATTTATCACGTTGTGATGCTTCTATAGCATTTTCAAACTTCGAAACGTTTTCGAAAAATAATATTTTATAATTGTAATAAGAAGCAAAAATATTTAGTAATTATCATAATTATTATGTATAAAGTTAGAAAAAAATAAAGATTACCCAGAGGTAATCTGTATGATATAAAATATTTTGGCGCAAATATTACTTAAAAAACCGTTACATTTTTACGTAAGATGAAACAAATATCTATCTATCAGTCCAATTCTATTTATTGTAATACGATATGAAGCCCTTAGTAAAGCAATAAATATTCAGTTTAAAACGAGTTGAGATAATATTTGACATTTGTTTATCTTATAGAATCACTTGAAGATATAGTTGTTTATGCGATTATGGAATTCAAATATACATTTGTTCCGAGAAATTTAAACTTTAGTGTATTTTGTATCAAATAGCGCTTATGTAAAAATACCAAAAATACCGGTATTTTTGGGAGTAAATACCGATAAAATTACCGCCGAAAAATCGGGCGGTTTACCGGTGATTTGGTATACCGGTATTGCATTCCCTAGTGTTGATAAGTTAGATGTATAAATGTTAGTGCTAATTTCTAGTATTGTGTCTTTGTGTGTGTCTAGTGTTCTATCTTTAGATGTAACCTACCAACGTTAATATCCACTGATGATGACATTGAATTGAATGCCGAAACGTTTGGGATTGAAGATTAATTTATAAATCTATGTTTTTTATTCTTTGATGTATCGTACCACAAAAACTTACTCATAAAAATATACATATTTGACATTTATTCCAGTTTATGTATCCCTTTTTCGGGTTCATCCACCTCAATAATTAGATCATTTTATTATCTTATCTTTTCCTCCCAGCGCGCTTTCTGCGCCTTCTGCCAGGACCGAATCTGGGGCTTGGGCAGACAGGGATTCAAGTGCATCCAGTGCAAGTTGCTGGTCCACAAAAAGTGTCACAAACTTGTCCAGAAACCCTGCACCAACGAGCACGTGGAACCGATTGTCAAAGATGACCCTCCGTCTGGCACGATAGCCTCCAGCCAACTAAACCTAGGTAATAAAGGACAGACAGGAGGATAATATTTTATTTGCAACTAGATGACCCGACAGACGTTGTCCTGTACTCATGACTACAATTTTTTAATATAATATACAAATATTCATCGTTTACCTAAAAATAATAAATATTGTTTTTTTTAAATTACTCTTCACGCCAAAATGCATATACATTTATAATATGAGCCATGTTAAATGTAGAACTGCTTTAAATGAAATGATGAGTCTCAATTCCCACACTGTATTGGAAATTGAAGCCTTTTAAACGGTGTAACATAACCATAACTATAACATAACACTGGTACTTCATGTTGGATTGAATTAATTGAATTTTTTATTATCTAAGATATCCAAAATTGCATCTTAAACTTCCCCTAAACGATATCGTGAGGGCCGAATTGTATGTATTCATCTTTACTTTCCCATTTGTTGTTATAAAGTGAAATTTAAAAAAAAATTAAATTTTAAAATTTAAAAAATATTGTAAAAAGATTAGTAAAAGATGCAAAGAAATTATATGTTGAAAAAAAAAACTATTTTGATAATTTAATATCTGAATTTTGTATTGGCGCCCCCTAAGGCGTGCGCTCGTATTTTTCGCATGCATCGCATTAAAGGTAGGACCGTCCCATATTAATACTTAATTTCATATTTTTAACTTCCCGTAGGGTAAGTTATTGTAATGGGCCGAAAATCGAAATTGAAAGTTTTTGCATTTCTCGACGTTTTGAAGGTTTCTGAACGTTTTGGCATACCTCAGAAAAAATGGATGTGTGTGTGTGTGTGTGTGTGTGTGAGTGTGTATGTATGTATGGATACAAATTTTCGCCCACGTTTTCGGGCGTACGGATTAACCGATTTGAATGGTTCAAAAAACATTCGATTCCTATTGATAGGGAAAAGAGCTGATTAGTTTTTGGCGAAGGCAGGTCCAGCCGTTTCGGAGATACGGAGCAAAGAGTGCAGAAAATAGAGATCGAATTTTTGAGAGAACGGAGTATCCGATTTGAATGATCTAAAAAAACATTCAATTAGTAATGATTGGGAGAAGTGCTTATTAGTTTTTGGCAAAGGCAGGCGCAGCCATTTCGAAGATACGGAGCAAAATATGTAAAAAATGGCAGTTTTTGAGAGAACTAAGCGTCCGATTTAAATGATTCAAAGAACTTTTTGCTTGTCCTAACAAAATAATTGATTTTGGAAAAAAAAAATTTGTTCCATTTTTTTTTTTTTTTTTGTATATCGAAAATATTTCAGATTTTCAATTCTGAGTATAGTTCTAATATACTTTTCAAATAATTTCAACTCTGCAATTCAGTTTATATAATTCTTATAAATATTAGACAGTGTTGCAATAATTATAATAATCCATTTGAAAGCATTCAGTATTCCTGGAACATTTCGTTACGGTACGGGAAGTTCCAGCAATTTGCCTTAAGGCACGATGCCATAATTGCCTCAAAACAGAATTCCACTTACAGCTAGTTTCCATTTATTTCTACAATATTGCACATACATCCCTGTACTTTATAATCACATACATCCTAGAAAATTTCCTTAACAAATTTCAGAAAGATTTATCAAAGTCCGAATAATCGTCTAGAAGGAGTATACAGTGAGTGCTTGTAATTTAATATGAACTTTATATAATAGCAATAAAGTTCAAATTGATTTTACGTTTTAGTTAGAAAACGTTTGTATAAGAAAAAGAAAAGAGTTTTTAGTGTTTTCCCGGCAATTATATGATTTTTTGTCGCCGCAAGAACCATTCTTGGACATCAACGAACATTTTAAAAAAAGAATTGGCCAAATTGGTCCAGGCGTTGTTGAGTTAAGCGCTTACCAACACATTTTGCGATTCATTTTTATATATAAGATAGTTTCTAATGGCTTGTTATCTACAGCAGGCGGTGATGATCAGAAGCACCAGAGTTTGGGACAAACTCTATCCAACAATTCGGGGCTTAACAATAAGCAGGGACAGATGACTGTTGAGAGTTTGGCTGGTGAGGATGGAGATGCCAATGATGATAAACGTGGAGAGGAGATTGCTGCTGAAACAGGTAAGGATAAAGGATAAATGACTGATAAAACGTCTAATGGGATTTAACGGATTGTGTCTGTTTCCCCAGGTGGTCAGAGACAGTACTCGTTGAGTGACTTTGAGTTGATCAGAGTTATAGGACGTGGCAGCTATGCCAAAGTGCTCATGGTCGAATTAAGGAAGACTAGGAGAATTTATGCTATGAAGGTTATTAAAAAGGCTTTGGTCACGGATGATGAAGATATCGATTGGGTGCAAACTGAGAAACATGTTTTTGAAACTGCATCGAATCATCCATTTTTGGTCGGTTTGCATTCGTGCTTCCAAACACCCAGCAGGTAAAAAACAATAAATATAAAGTAGTACAAACAGTGATTAAAAAAAAAAAGAGTGCGCGTAAGGATCACACGCGATTGAAGTAAAACTTATTTGCTACTGTACGATGTAGCAAATTTAAGTTAAGAAAAGATAAATACATCATATAACAATTTTGAATAATGTTTATTAGTAATATGGTAACACTCGTGATGCACATTTAATAGTGTCGTCAATCATTATACACATTTATATAATGATAAATTATAAATTATATTTTTATGATTGCATTAAAAATATATATAATATTTACAAATAATAATGTAATCAAAGTCGTACTTGAAATATGACATGATCGTTTTAAAGTAATTGCTTATTAATAAATTCTATAATATTCATTCACACAGTGGATTATGTTAAACAACGCCTAAACAAATATTGTTTTCACAATTTCACTCATCATGTAATAATTGTGTTTGAAGAACTTCATGTAATTAAAATTAACATACATTCATTGACTGTTTGTATTTTTTTACCTTTTCGCTGTCGATAAAATCTCATTCTTTGAACAGCTGTAATAGCTGCCTTGCCTAAAAAATTGAAGCCATACTTTTATATTTGTTTTATTTATCAAGTCCTGCACATAGCTTGATCTATGAATCATTTGCTTTTTATGTGAACGTTAATGCAATGATCATCATCAATATTACGAAGTAATAAATTAACCATATTATTAACGCCAACAGGCACATTTATAATTTGGCCAAATATTCCGAATTGTCCATTTGCATGTCGCAATCGTCTAATTTGCATGAAACACAACCCAGGTGAAATTAACCTTTCAGATACAGTATCTATTTTTGCACATGTACACTACATTTATTTATGGGGGACGGGATAAAATATTCTTCCGATCCTGACATTTTTATTAACTCACGATTTAATACCACTATTTAACCTTAAAAAGTTTTGACATAACACCGGAAATTTGAACAATATGCTTCACGCTTTCGGTGACGTGCGCACGTATAAAGTCCCGTATAGAAATCATATCATCGAGAGCGAATGACTCTCACTTCAGCTTGGCGTAACAATTTCCGTTGCATTTGTACGGATTTACACCCATGTCGCGCCTAAAGAAGTTTTACTTCAAAAATGTATTTTTTCCTCAGGTTGTTCTTTGTGATTGAGTTTGTTCGCGGTGGTGATCTGATGTTCCATATGCAGAGACAACGAAGATTACCCGAAGAACATGCCAGGTTCTACGCTGCTGAAATCAGTCTTGCATTGAATTTCTTGCACGACAAGGGTATCATTTATCGTGATCTGAAACTGGACAATGTTCTGTTGGATCACGAGGGACATATTAAATTGACCGATTACGGTTAGTAAATTAAGAATTTTGAAATGTTAAGATTCAATGATTAATTTTTAATTAAATATTTTAGGTATGTGCAAAGAGGGTATTCGGCCTGGTGATTCTACATCAACTTTCTGTGGAACTCCAAATTATATAGCTCCTGAAATTCTTAGAGGTATTTTAAACTAATATATATTAATAATTATTTATTTATTAATTTTTTTTATTAATAACTAGATGACCCGACAGACGTTGTCCTGTACCCATGTCTAGAATATTTTAATATAATATACTGATATTTACCGTTTATCTAAAAATAATAATTATTGTTTTTTAAATTACTCTTCACGCCAAAATGCATTCACATTTATAATATGAGCGATGAGTCTCAATTCCCACACTATATTGGAAATTGAAGTCTTTTAAACAGTATAACATAACCATAACCATAACATAACACTGGTACTTCATGCTGGATTAAATTAATTAATTTTATATTATTTAAGATATCCAAAATTGCATCTTAAACTTCTTCTCCTAATCGATATCGTGAGGGCCGAATTGTATGCATTCATCTTTACATTTCCATTTGTTGTTATAAAGTGAAATTTTTACGAATTTCAAAAATATTGTGGAAAGATTAGTAAAAGATGCAAAGCAATTATATAATAAAAAAGAACTATATTGAAAATTTAATATCTGAATCTTGTGTTGGCGCCCCCTAAAACGTGCGCTCGTATTTTTCGCATGCATTGCATTAAAGTTAGGACCTGCCCTGATTAATACTTAATTTCATATTTTAAGTGAATTAATTTGTCATATTTCTACATATGTGTCTAATTCAATCTGCCATATACGTGTATATACTGTATTTTACATTATTTTAATTTTTGGCACAACTCAGCTGCTTTTCGGCAATAATAATGTAGTCTTTTCAATTTTTTATTCATAATCTTATATTTATTACATATATTCTAATATTGTCTAGGTTCATAAGTAACATGAAATAATTGGCAGATGATGGATGACAGTATTGCACATACATCTCAGTACTTTATAATCACATACATCCTAGAAAATTTCCTTAACAAACTTTAGAAAGATTTATCAAAATCCGAATAATCGTTAAGGAGGTGCATACAGTGAGTGCTTGTAATTTAATATGAACTTTATATAATAGCAATAAAGCTCAGATTGATTCTACGTTTTAGTTGGAAAACATTTGTATGAGATAAAGAACAGGACTGTTTTTAGGGTTTTCCCGGCAATTATTCGATTTTTTCTCGCCGTAAGAACCATCCTTGGACTTCAACGAACATTTAAAAAAAAGAATTGGCCAAATTGGTTCAGGCTTTGTTGAGTTATGTGCTTGCCAACACATTTTGCGATTCATTTTTATATATAAGATAATAATTAATTTATAATTACTAATTATTTATTTATTGTCTGTCGGTAATACTGTGATCTCATGGTGATTTTTTTTCCTTAGGTGAAGACTACGGTTTCAGTGTAGACTGGTGGGCATTGGGGGTCCTGCTGTACGAAATGTTGGCAGGCAGATCTCCCTTTGATATTGCAGGAGCATCCGAAAATCCTGATCAGAACACGGAAGACTACCTGTTCCAAGTTATCTTAGATAAAACTATCCGTATACCCAGATCTCTGAGCGTCAAAGCTGCATCTGTACTTAAAGGTAAATAATAATAATTGTTTTAGAATATCTGAGTATCTCATAATCATAGTCAAATGCTTATGACTATGTTTTTTTTTGTTACAGGTTTTCTTGTGAAGGATCCTGCAGGCAGGTTAGGTTGTCACAAGGAAGGAGGTTTCATGGACATCGTCAATCATCAGTTCTTCAAAGCCATCGACTGGGAAATGGTAAGTAGTTAACTTCAGTCACATACATACTCTTTACTAACACAAACTTAATCCATTGATTCACAATTAGGGAATGCAATACCGGTATACCGAATTACCGGTAAACCGCCCGATTTTTCGGCGGTATTTACGCCAAAAATACCGGTATTTTCGGTATTTTTACATAAGCGCTATTTGATACATAATACGCTGAAGTTTAAATTTCTCGGAACAAATTTATCTTTAAATTCCATAATCGCATAAACAGCTATATCTTCAAATGATTCTATAGGATAAACAAATGTCAAATATTGTCTCAACTCGTCATTAAACTGAATATTTATTGCTTTACTAAGGGCTTCATTTCGTGTTACAATAAATAAAATTTGAATGATAGATAACGATGTTTGTTTCATCTTATGTAAAAATGTAACGGTTTTTTAAGTGACATTTGCGCTAAAATATTTTATATCATACAGATTACCCCTGCGGAATCTTTATTTATTTCTAAATTTATACATAATAATTATGATAATTACTAAATATTTTTGCTTCTTATTACAATTATAAAATATTATTTTTCGAAAACGTTTCCAAGTTTGGAAATACTATAGAACCGTCACATTGTTTTAAATAACAATACTCAACAATTATAGGTAAATATTATTTATCTCGACAAAGTATCCGATCTTAGATTAGTGTAGAAAAATTATTTTTTTAAAATATTGGAGATTATGCTAATTTAACACATCGGATACAGATAATACAGTTTATTATAATAACGTAATTTTAGGTTGTCAAATATCTCCCTTCCGCTTTTTTGCTCTTGGTTTATAATACAAAAATGCGGAAGGGAGATATTTGACAACCTATTATGATCTTTTATGAGTTTTCGGTCTTTCTTACTTATAAGTTTGTTCTTGGTGAAAAGTACTCAATATACTCGATAGTGATAATGAATTAATTAAATTGGATATAATTTTGTTAAATTATTAGTTAAAAAAATAAACTTGTTGTTTTATTTTATTGTTTTTATTGTTTATTTAAATATAGTTGTAGTTGTATATACATTTTTTTATATTTGTACTAGTAACTTTCAATTTTATTTACGTTTGTGTAAAATGAAAAAAATACTGGTAATTTACCGCGGTATTCCGGTTTTAAAATGAAAAATTACCGAAATACCGGTATTGAAATTTTCCATCGGTATTGCATTCCCTATTCACAATCATTTACTATATATTACCACCGACTATTATCATTGAGTTATTATTATGATGGTCAGTTGGCACAAAAGGAGGTTGAGCCCCCGTTCACACCGTGCGATGAACAAGACTATGCTGTTAATTTTGATCCTCAATTTACACGAGAACCAGCCCAGCTCACACCAGACGAACAGTATGGATTCTAGAATTTGTTTTTTTGCAGAAGTCACATATTTTTTGTTGGGCTGATTTGATCATTTTTGTGTCTTGGTTAAAGGAATTTTTAGCGATTGTGAAATGGAATGTGACATGAAATGTAGATTCGATTAGATTTATCGCATGATAAATGATTTATGGTTAACTCGTAATAAAAAAACAATTTTTATGAATTAAGTATATATGTATACTAAGGTGGTCCTTAATATGGACATTTTCGAATTTCCTTGCTCCCAGGTGCTCAAATGGTTACAAATTGATAAAAAAACAATTTTCTGAAAGTTTTAGCTTTTAATATTGTCTTTTAGATAGAGCGCAATTTAATCAAAGTTTTATATGGAAATGGCATGAAAAAATTTTCAAAAACTTTGCAGAGCGTCGAATTTAAATAAAAATTGACACAAATTTTTACTTTTAATTCATTTGTCGCTAAGCTATACCTAAAATTTTTTAACTTTTCGTAGGGCAAGTTATAGTAATCGCAAAAAAATCGAAAATGAAAATTTTTATATATTTTTACGTTTCAAAACCTTCCGAACTTTTTGGCATACCTTGGAAAATATTGATGTATGTGTGTGTGTGTGTGTGCGGATACAAATTTTCGTCGACGATTTCAGGAACACGGATGAAGCGATTTGAATAATTAAAAAAACATTAGATTCGTATTGATAAGGAGACGTGCTAATTAGTTTTTGACGAAGGCAGGTCTAGCCGTTCCGAAGATACGGGGCAAAAAGTGCCAAAAATGGTAACTCCGTTTCTAAGAGAACGGAGCGTCTGATTTTAATAATTCAAAAAACATTTTACTTGCATTAACAAGATGAATTCATCAAATTTTCATGAAGGCAGGTCTAGCGGTTTCGGAGATCTAGTGAAAAAAGTAACAAAAAAATGCCATTTGGCGGTCAAAAATGATCATTAGACATATGCACATCAAATTATCAGATATTTTACAGAGATTTTAATAATAAATATAAATTTTGTTTATATTACTATGGGTTCCGCACCAATGTTTATCCGTTAGACGGCGACGCGGCGCTTACGCGCTTTGACATTTTATCTCTATGCAGTTAAATCAGTACGATTGCTTTGAAAAACAGTTCAGAATTTCCAAAATGTCAAAATAAAGAAATCATTTTTTTTCTCAAAAAAAAAGTAATTTTTTGTCAAATTTATAGTTTCTCAAAAATCTAATTTATTCTAAGTAAATTTTTTTTCAACAATGTTAATCTTTTAAAAAAAATCATAATTTTTGGTACGGGAAGTTCCAGCAATTTGCCTTAAGGCACGATGCCATGCGCCCCACTAATTTTTTTAATTTTCAAAATTTATAACTTCTCGTAGGGCAAGTTATAGTAATAGCAAAAAAATCGAAAATGAAAATTTTCGATTTTTCCATACTATTTCCATACGAAGTTTGATTGAATTGCGCACTATCTAAAAATTAATATTAAGAGCTAAAACTTTTAGAGAATTGTTTTTCATCCATTTGGAACCATTTGGAACCCTTGGGAGCAAGGAAATTCAAAAATGTCCATATTAAGGACCACCTTGAAGTGTACTAGGGCGGGTCGATTTTAAGGTCACTTAGGCACATATGATTTTTGGATTTTAGGGGTCAAAATAAGATACTTTGCTGAAGAAACCATACCTAAAAAATGAATTCTATTAAATGATTACCTATAAAATCAGTTCCGCGCATTTACCCAAAAATGAGGGTCAAATTTTGAAAAACTCTTCAGGGGGGTTGAACCAGAGTAAATCATCAGTACATAATAAATTCATTTAAAAGAGTTAGGATAACCGTTGAGTTGCCATTTTTAAAGCCAAAAAGTCGGGACAACTGTTTAGAGGGCGTCCATAAATCACGTGATTGATTTTTAAGGATTTTTGGAGACCCAAGACCCAAATTACCACTCCCCTTCCCCGCCTAATAGTACGTGTTTTTTTAGTTAAGAGAAAAATTGTAAATATTTGAATTTTTTTTTTGAAAATGTAAATAGGATTTGTTAATTTCTAATGGGAGTATGGGCTTTGTAAAGTTAGTGGAAATCGTTCATACACTTTAAACGGGTCAAAACAAAATTTTTCAAAATTCAACCCTTAGTCTTTGGGTCAATGCACGGGACATAAGAATTCATTTTAGAGGTACGATTTTTTCGGCAAAGTATCTTAATTTAATCTTTAGTATTAGTGTCTAAGCGACTATTTTCTACTCTTACAAATCGACCCGCCCTAATGCATACTCTAAAATCAACTCTCAAGCCTATACGAGTTAACTCCAATCATTCCCCCGGAGCAGTCGATCATCAATTTTTTTTTATAATTTTTTCTATTAAGTTTTTTAATTTTATTTCCTTTATTGCTTTTTCTTTCATCGTTTTATAAATCACTCGTAGCTCGAGCAGAAGCAGGTTGCGCCTCCTTTCAAGCCCCGCCTGGAGTCCGACAGGGATTTGGCCAATTTTCCGCCGGAGTTCACAGACGAACCGGTTCATTTGACGCCGGACGACGAGTGAGTAGACAACAAAAAAAAAATATAAACAACAACCACAACAACTACAACAACAGTATTTCAAAAAAAAAACTAGATAGTTTAGACAAAAATTAGCAAAGGCCTTCTGTGTGGTCCAGAGCCATTGTTGTGAACACGATGTGCTGGTAGAAAGATCTCAAGATTTATTTTATTTTTTTAATATATCTTTATAAATATATATTTCGTCGCAATATGTTTAATATAGTTAGCAATAAGTTTAATAATGTCATGAGTGTTAGTTAATAAATTCATCCAAAAGAGTTAGGATAAGCTACGTCGTTTGAGAAGTCGGCACAACTGTATATAAACTAGTGAGGCGCATGGCATCGTGCCTTAAGGCAAAATGCTGGAACTTCCCGTACTATAATTAAACATTCTAGAAATGAAAATAATCAATAATTGTTCTAAATAATGTCAAATAGATTATTTATTATATAAACATACTGTGAACTTGCTTATTGTATAAACATACTGTGAGTGCTTTTTAAATTAGGCGACGAGCGTATTCTACATACAATTTCGTGTATGTTTATTAGAAATTCGTTCTTTTTTTTAAATTTGATGATTTTGATAATTTAGAATTTTTTTCGGAGTTTTGTATTTTTTTAGAAGTTTGAATTTTTTGTAAATTTTTTTGTTTGTTTCTGTAGAAGGAAACATTCTTTATGCATATCCAAAACCTAGAAAATAATTATAAATTAAATTAAATTAAATGAATATTTTTTTGAGTAAAATGGAGGCTTTTAGCTCAGAAAAATAAAATCGTTTATATAATAGTGACTAATAAGTCGTGCAAACGTTTTCTCATTTGTATCATCTTCAGTGCAAAAAAAAAACACAAAAATAACATTTTTTTCAACAGTAGTTAACTTTCTGTAGGGTAAGGTATCGTAATCAACGAAAAATCGTTTTTGTTTGCATATTTTTACGTTTCAAATCCTGAATATTTTGGCATACCTTAGAAAAAATGTGTGTATATTTTTGTATGTGCGGATACACATTTTTGTCGACGATTTCAACACGGAACACGGGATCAACCAATTAGAATGATTCAAAAACATTCTATTAGTATTGATGGGGAGAAATAGGGCAAAAGTGGCAAAAATGGCAATTCAGTTTTTGAGAGAACGTAGCGTCCTATTTTAATCATTCAAAAAAATATTTTACTTGTATTGACAAGATAAAAAAAAACTGGTTAAATTTTTAGGAAGGTAGGTACAGCGGTTTTGGAGATCTAATTAAAAACGTGAAAAAATACCATTTGACGGTCAAAAATGATTATTGGACATATGCACATTAATTTATGGATATTTAATAAGTAGGTACATTGTTTTGAAAAAAAATTCAAATACTCAAAATCTATGTTTTTTCAAAGGCTTCAATACAAAAATCAAAGTTAAAAAAAAATTGCGGTGCGGAAAGTTTCAGTAATTTTCCTTAAGGCATGATGCCACGCACAACTAGTTTTACCTCACAGTATAATATATTTACAGAATTTTTATGATAAATTTAATATTTTTAACTTCGCGTAGGGTTGAAAAAAGTTCAAAATTCCAAAATATTTAAAAAAACATTTTTTTCCAAAAGTTTTTTTTACAAAAAAGTCAATTTTTCTCAAAAATCTAATTTCTCAAAATCTAATTTTTTCAAAGTTTTAAAAAACACTTTTAATGTTTTTGGAAAAAATTAATTTTTGGTACGGAAGTTCCAGCAACTTGCCCTTTTTTCAAAAGTTTTTTTTTTTAAATTTTAAACAAAGTCAATTTTTTTCAAAATCATTTTTTTTTTTTTCAAAGTTTAAATAAAAGTTTTTTTTACAAAGAAAGTAAATTTTTGTGAAAATGTATATTTTTCAAAGTTTAAAAACAAATAATATTTTAACTTCCCGTAGGGTTGACAAAAAGGTTAAAATTTCCAATAATACAATTTGTTTTAAGTTTTTTTTAAATGTTATCTCGGAAGTTCCAGCAAATTGCCCTAAGGCACGATGCCATAACACCACTAGTATTTGCTTATACATCATTTATTGTAGTTTTATTCACTGATGAAGGCACTGGGACTAGAAACGTATTGTATATATATATAAGCAAATCCGAGTGCACATTATATAGGGTATTTTATTTTTATTCATTTATTTTTAATTAAAACTAATATTCATTTTAAGTTTTTGTTATAATTTTAGGTTTCATGATAATCCATCACACAAGCATGTTTTATTAACTTTCTTACCTGCTTTAGTAAAATACTTTTTTCTGTTTGATTTTTTCAAAATCGAATGCCTATTCTAGTAGTTCTATTGACCTGGCATGCACAAGCACGATTATATATCTAAGAATGCCCAATGATCAAATAAATAATATATAATAAATAAATGATCATTTACCATGTGTCCTTTACCCAGGCACGTCATCGACAAGATAGACCAGACCGAGTTTTGCTTTAGTAAAATACTTTTATCTGTTTTTTTTTTCAAAATCGAATGCCTATTCTAGTACAGTAGAACTCCAATTATTCGAATTAATGGGGACCGGGACCCATTCGGATAATCAAATATTCGGATAATCGGAGTTTTTTTTTAAAATTGCCATTGGAGAGAAAAAAAGTTACGTTTTGATATTGCACTATTTTTTTATTGAATTAAATGAAAGAAACATGACATTTTCACATGTTTTAAATATAAATAAAATGTACTTATGTACAAGTTTAGAAATAAAAATCATTGTTTTGTAAACATCTCCGTCAAATCAAAACAAACAATGTGCCTACACTGGCTTTGCTGGTGGGAGAATAATAGCGCACTTAGACTTTTTTGGACATTTTTTTTTCTGAAAGTGATTCGGATAATCGGCGATTTGGATAATTGGATTTGGATAATTGGAGTTCGGATAATTGGAGTTCTACTGTAGTTCTATTGACCTGGCATGCACATGCACGATTATGTAACCATAGATTATAATATAACCAATGTTTTTTTTTTCAAATAATTATCATTTACCATGTTATGAATAAATTATCCTTTGCCCAGGCATGTCATCGACAAGATAGACCAGACCGAGTTCGAAGGCTTCGAGTACGTGAATCCTCTCCTGATGTCGCTCGAAGACTGCGTCTGACGAAACGCTCCCCGACGCCGAACACTTTAAAAAAATTGAAAGAGAAGAGGTCTTCTTTAAAAAGAAGACCTCCGAAGACGACAGCGACAACAGCACACCGCCACCTTTACCACCATTGAGATATTTCGAGAACCAGAAATGCGAACTGCACCCGGACAGGCCCTATATGCTGACAAACGCCCTGCATTCGTCGGAATTCTCCTCGGAGATCGATTCCTCGGACTTCGATCAAGGTAACTTTTTACATCACTACGTGGTCAGTAGGCATTATCAGGAGCAGCAGTTCAGGCACCAGGATAATAATGGTCAGGATAATGATCACCATTACGAGAATCAGATGTGTTTTCAGAATATAGACGGGACGACCGGGTTTCCGATACATATTAATGGGTACGATGGCTTAGATTTGCCGGCTAGGGGCGATGATGATAGATTGATGCAAAGTAGCGATGATTACGATGAGGTTCCGTCTGATGATAATAATGGGGTAGTTGAGGGTAAGAATGGAAAGAAGCAGGGAGGGAACAAGGCGATTTTGAGACATATGTTTTGTTTGCCTTCGAACTAATTTTTTTTTTGCTTTTTATATTCACATTTAGGAGCCAATAGTAATGTTACGTTGGAGGTCTAGGAGGTAGTAATTGATCTTTCGACCTTCGAATAACAATTTTATCATAAAGGGGCGTCCATTAATCCTTAGAAAATTTGTAACCTGAATTAAAAAAAAATCCAGAATTTTTCATAAAAATTTCCCAAAGTTTAGGTACTAAATGTACATATAACTGTTTAGGGATGAAGGGGTAATTTTTTATAATAATTTTCCAACCAAGGGAGAGGAGGGTTGCGAAAAATCGCGTGATTAATGGACGTTCTCTAGGAGCCAGGGGTGGGGTTAATAAATAATAAAAATTCAAAATTTTTCATAAAAATTACAAAAATTTACCATTTTTTCTATGTGCCAAAATGCACGTAATGTTAGTTGGGAATGAAGGAGTAATTTTTTATAATAATTTTCCCTCCAAGGCGGAGGAGGGTCCAGAAATTTTTTAAAAATCGATCACGTGATCAATGGACGGGAGTTTGATAAAAAATCCCTCCCCATCACGTGGGGGAGGGAGGGGTATAGTGAGATAATTTTCGATTTTTTTAAAATTCAGGTGAAAAATAAATTCACATGACATTTTACTATACCCCTCCATCCCCCACGTAATATTTTGTGATTTTTTATCAAACCAAGGGGACGTACATTGATCACGTGATCCATTTTTAAAAATTTTCGGGACCCTCCTCCGCCTTGATTTTTTTTAAAAAAAAAATACTTTTTTATCCCCAACTACCGTTACTAGCATTTTTAGTACCTAGCAAAAATGTTAAATTTTTGTAATTTTTATGAAATTTTATGGTTCATCTGTTTGCATCAATCTTATTTATCGTGTCGAGATAATTAATGTATTTTAATTAATTTATATATATATATATATATATAGTATTATTTTCTAATTTCCCAGTATCAAATTTTTTTAAAAATAGACGTTTCAGTATTATCGATATCCCCAATACTCTTTTATCCCCAACTACAATTACTAGCATTTTTAGTACCTAGCAAAAATGTTAAATTTTTGTAATTTTTATGAAATTTTATGTTTCATCTGTTTGCATCAATCTTATTTATCGTGTCGACATAATTAATGTATTTTAATTAATTTATATATATATATATATATATATATATATATATTAGGTTGTCAAATATCTCCCTTCCGCTTTTTTGCTCTTGGTTTATAATACAAAAAGGCGGAAGGGAGATATTTGACAACCTTATATATATATATATATATATATATATATATATATATATATATATTAAAAGTATTATTTTCTAATTTCCCAGTATCAAATTTCTTTTAAAAACAGACGTTTCAGTATTATCGATATGTATTTAAATTAATATTTAAGAAGACATTTTTTCGGCAGCATACTTAACCAACAACAATACAAGGTTCTTGTAAATTCATTATGTAAATACATTTTGATATATAATTCATTACTTAAAATAATAACAATACAGACAACATCACATTCAATGCCAACAGTTGCTCATCTAAAAATAACAGTACTATAAAAAAGTCAATAAATAAAATTCCTATATTATGATTGGCAAATTTTTCGTAGACAGTTTGTTGTTGTATGATCCTGGTGATACATTGCTGAAGAGATCTGGTTAATCTAGGTGATTTATTGTGACCTGAATTCGAAAATGTAACATCTATTGATTTCTTTTCTGATTTTATTTCTTCATTCTGAAACTTTTATATGATTTTTCTTTTTTTCGTTTTTTTTCACATTTTTTTATGATTCTCTCAGAGCCGATACAGTTTTACTTTCATGTTCAGAGTATTTTAGAAGAAACTCATTGCGTACATTAAGATCATCTTCTAAGCGCTCCCATAATGGACTAAGGCTTTCACGCAATTCTAAAACAATATTTTTCGATCTTTCAAGTTTTTCCACATAATCAGTATCTGTAATTTCCATTTCCGAGTCGCTCAGATCAGCTTCAAAATCTAACGATGGCTTTATTTCAAGCTCATCGAATATCCTTATGAGATCTTTGCGTATCTTCTCCAACTCTGTTTGTCTGAATTTTTCCTGTTCCAACAAGTATTTTTTGGAAAACATCAATATATCGTGACTTGACGGTAATGTTGAACTTGTTGATAGTCGTTTTTGTTTGAATCCTAAATCTTTACATGAATTTATTTCTTTGTCCAACGTGTCAACAAGAAAAACATGTCGTTAATAACAGATTTTCTGCTATTGTATATCTTACTACAATTATAATCATATAACATATATTTGAGGATGTTCTATAGCTTCAAATGGCACGAAATCCTGTGTGAATTTTTCTGGCAAAGGCTCTGAAAGCAGTTTACAGGTTTCTATCACTTCATTACTTTTTCCAGTTCTTGTACATATACACCTTTAACTAATTTAGCTTCTTCAATAATATCACTAAAGAGGTCTGCAACAAGATCTATAAATTTTTCACATTTTATTGTTTCTTCCTTGTAACTATGCTGCTAGATACCTAATAAATACATAATACATAAATCATTTTAAACCTTGTAAGTTGGACCTGTTCGCTATGTACAAAATATCCATGTTAAGGGGGTTGTTCGGTTTTTTTTGTTACAAAAAATGCAAGGTATTTGTTTTTGTTTTTCACGAAATGTATTTATCATAGAAACATGCGGTTTTTTTTTAAACAAAAATTACAAGATCATAGAATATTAGGAAATTTTTTATTAATTTTTTTTCGCCGTCGTTTTTTAACCAGGGAGCGCCAAAGTGGGCATTGCAAAATCGATCTCTTTCGCGGTGCCACAAATAAATCCGTTGCGCATCGCCCGAAACAAAAAAAAGAAACTACGTTGAAGAAGAAGTTTGAATCCAGTCCCCCTACCAAAATGAAAAAGAAAAAAAGCAAGAAGGAAAAAAATGGCAGCTATTTTTTAAAAAAAGTGTTAAAAGCGGCATTTTTTTGTTCTTTGAGGAAGGGGGACTAGGTATTGCAGCGGTGAACAAATTAAAAAAAATGCAAGTCCATCCGACTTTTAGTTTTTTTAATTTGTGGCACCGCATTGAATAAAGTCATTTTGAGAAAAACGTATTTAAAGTTTTTAATATAATGTACTAAATACACCATTTAATTTAACCATGGTGTTCAAAGATGCTGACACATTAAAAAGGTCATGTGCATGAGGTATTATAATGAAAAAGAGAGCAGCTGGCATACAATAGCTCGCGGACCGATGAAAAAAACGGTTTCAGAGGATCATACTAAGAGATATATATATATCTATAACTTCGTCAAAAAAATAGATATTGAGATGATTTTTTTTTAAAATGATTCTAAGGTTTTTAGCTTTCATAATATCAAAAAACCGAACAACCCCCTTAATCGTATTTATTATTTTTGATCAATAGATTAATAACACTTAGTATTCCCATTAATTTATATTGTGCTTGTCTCGCCTAATCGTTCTCTCGATTGAACTAAATTTTAATTTTAAACTTATTTTAATAATATTGCTGATATATTAACAAACTATAAGAATTATAACAAATGCCAATATATGACATTCCACGATTAAATTAAAATCAGTCGATTAATAGAGAAAGTTTTAGATATTGTAAATATATTAGGACTTATTATTAGGCACTATAGTTTATAGATTGTATTTATCTATTATATAAATATAAGTATATACATATATTGAATAAGAGAAACCTTCGTTACTAAACGCTTTATAGATTCTGTTCAAAGAGAAAAATTATTACTTAGGGAATAACGTTATAAAGATAAATTTAAATAGATAGATAATTTTTTAGTTTTGAAGTTACGGAGGTTTCACTCATTGATTTTATATTTATTAACTTTTTTGTCGTAAAGCACCGGTTAAAAATGATTTTTATTTATATAGGTGCTTTATGAATAAATCGATTTTGTATTGTTTTAAAACTGTTTTGTATAAACTTTATGTATATGTATGTAAATTTATATATATATATACATATATATTTGTTGCGTCCTTTAACCAAATTCTATTCCATGTTTTTAGCATTTACAATCATAAAATTATATATCGGTAAGATATATATATATATATATATTATTGACAATGTGAGAAAAGTATTATAATTAGAGGCTGCTAATTGAAAATTAATATTAAACATATTGTAAATTATAAAACTGAATTAAAACGGAGATTAATAAAACTATTATTGATTAATATATATACACAATTTTTTATTGTGAATTATAATTTTATTTTTAACTTCCCGTAGGGTAGTTATAGTAATCCCAAAAAAAAAATCGAAAAAGAAAATGCATATCTTTACGTTTCAAAGGTTTCTGAACGAAAGAAAATTGATGGTGTGTATACGTATGTGTGGATACAAATTTTCTGTCCATGTTTTCGGGAGAACGGATCAACCGATTTGAATGATTCAAAAAACTTTCGATTTGTATTGTTAAGGAGACGTGCTGATTAGTTTTTGGCGAAGGCAGGTCTAGCCATTAAGGAGATACGGAGAAAAGACTGCGAAAAATGGTGTTTCAGTTTTTAAGAGAACGCAGCGTCCGATTTGTATGATTCAAAAAATATTTTGTTTGTATTGTTATGGTGAAGAACTGATTAAGTTTTTGGGAAGGCAGGTCTAGCGGTTTCGGAGATCCAATGAGAAAAGTGATAAAAAATGACATTTGACGGACAAAAATGATCATTAGGTATAATGATAATAGACATCGTATTATCAGATATTTTATAGAGATTTTAATAATAACAAATTTTGTTCACATTTCTATGAGTTTGTTAACCGCGACGCGGCGCTCACGCGCTTCGATATTCCGTTTCTACGCATCTAACGTATCGCGATTCTTTTGAAAAAAATTAAAAAATCCGAAAATATTTTGAAGTAGAAAAAAATCTAATCGTTCAAAAGGGTCAATTGTTTTCATAAATTTTAGAAATCCCAAAAATCGATTTTTTTCTGAGTTTTGAAAGAAAAAAGAATAATTTTTAAAAATTTTAATTTTTGGTACGGCAAGTTTCAGTAATTTGCCTTAAGGCACAATGCACCACTAGTTTATCTTTACGTTTCAAAGGTTTCTGAACAATTTGACATACCTTAGAAAAAGTGGATGTGTGTATGTGTGGATACAATTTTTTGTCTATATTTTCGGAGAAACTGATCAACCGATTTGAATTATTCAAAAAGCATAAGGCAGTTCCAGCGGTTTTGGAGCTCTAGGAAAAAAAAATAAAAATGTTGTTTTCAGCTATTTTCGAACAGTATAGATAAACCGATTTGAATGAGTATCAAATAATTAAAATTAAATAATCAAAAAAAAATTAAAATAACACCTGTATTTTCAAAAATTTCAAATTATTGCAAAAATTTCATAGTTTCCAAAACAATGTTCCAAAAACTTCAAAATTCTCAAAACAAATTAAATAATTTCTGCAAAATAATTATTTTTTTTTCTAAACTTTTAGAATTTTTACGGAAAGTTCCAGCAATCTGGCTTAAGGCACGATACCATACACCATTAGTTTGTGCAGAAAATCACTATAGAAAACTTATGTTTATTAATATTTATTTTTTTTATATTCTAATTAAATGTTTTTATATCTTTCACTTGTGAAGGGACTTTTTGCATATCTTCACGTTTCAGAGGTTTCTGAACATTTTAGCATACCTCAGAATAAATGGATGGATACAATTTTTCGTTCACGTTTTCGGACGCACGGATCAACCGATTTGAATGGTTGAAAAAACATTCGATCCCTATTGATAGGGATATGTGCTGATTAGTTTTTGGCAAAGGCAGGTCCAGCCGTTACGGAGATAAAGAGCAAAGAGTGCAGAAAATAGAAATCCGAGTTTTTGAGAGAACGGAGTATCCGATTTCAATTATCTAAAAAACATTCAATTTGTAATGATTGGGAGAATAGGTGATTAGTTTTTGGCAAAGGCAGGTCCAGCCATTTCGAAGATACAAAGCTAAATGTGAAAAAAATACCATTTTTGATAGAACTAAGCATCCGATTTGAATGATTCAAAAAACTTTCGAGAGAACAGAGTATTTTCATCAAATATTTATTCCAATAATAGTTTTTACAATGTTTTAATTTAACAATTTATTTTCGACTGATACAGAAGAGATTACAAAAAATATAATACAATATAAATTGTGAAAAATGTGGAGAATTAACAACTGTGGTGTATATTTATTTTGGTGTTGAAAAAATTATTCGCCGTAATAAAATTGTTGGAAACTGTTGCAAATATTGTGGAAGAAATCTGTTTGTATGATGAAGTAAATCAGAGACACGTAGAAGATGCCGGCCAAGGTGTTGTAAATTATTTCGTTTCTGAAAATATAAAAAAAAAATATTGTCACAACCGTCATGGCACGAGAGAAAGAAAAAGAAAAATAATAATATGTTCGAGTTTCATTACTACTATTTTTATTATTGGCTTTGTACTACTAGTACATTTGACCACTTAGAATCATTTTTATATTTTCTTATTTCTTTTATCTCACCTCTTGTACTGCTTAATATTTTCCTGAACATCGTCCTTCTCCTTGACGACATATCTGTTTATGCCGATAACAGCATTCATGTAATATTCGTACATGTCGAAGTGCTCCAGGGTGAACCAGAAGGCTTCCCTAAAAAGGTAAAAAAATTAATTTATTAATTTATTGTGATATAATTATATTTTGATTTTGGTTTTTCACTAACTTGTCGATCGGTTCCACTTTATAGGCCAGGTTCCAGAAGTTCTCGTTTTTGAAGTTCCAAGTGTTGAGGGCGAAGTGGCCCAGGGCGGTCATTACCAAGTAGATTTTGCGGTTTATTCGGGCCAATCTGGTAAGTGGAAATATATTATTATTGTAATTATTACTTCCAGAAGGATAAGTTTGTTTTCATAAAAAAATCCGATTTGATAGTATTATGTTCGACCTTCCAAGTTATTCTGAATCGAGTGGGGCCGAATTCGGAAAAAGTATTTATATGTGTGTGTGAGTAGATTTTTGACCTTTCGTCAACGATTTTTCGAAAACGGCTGGATCGATTTAAAAAATTTAAAAGCCATTCGATGTATCTCGGTGAGGACTAGCGTTCATCAGTTTTGCGCAACGATCAGCCAAGCCGTTTCTTTGTAAATAGCAGAAAAGTGAAAATTTTTTTGTCCATGTTTTTTTCCCAAATTCTGTGTCGATTTAAAAATTTCAAAAGCGCAAGAAATTGGTTGGAAATCGTGCTGATTAATTTTCTGGTGAATCGACCCGTCTGTTTCTTTGCAATATTTTTAGGACGACTTTTATGATTTTTTTGCGATAGATATGATGTTCTTATAGATCATATTAAAATGTTGCTAAGGTGATCATACGTGCCGGTTTGGCTGGGACAGTCCCGGATTTTCACCTTGTGTTTCGGGCTTTCCTAAAAGTAGTATTTGTCCCGGATTTCATTTTATAGCCCGAATTTTTAAAAAAAATATAAGATTAAACTGATTTTACGCACTTAAATAAAATTACAAATATCCATCAAATATTTGAAAATAATGTAAACAATGATGAGTATGCTTATATGAAGCAATAGGTAATGAATGGGAAAATTGTTGAATGCAAAATTCCAAAGTGTTAAAAAAGAATCTCGCATTGATAATTTCTGATTTCCATTTTCATTTTTACGAAAATTAGCAATTTTTTAACTTCCCGTAGGGCAAGTTATAGTAATCGCAAAAAAAAATCGAAAATGAAAATTTTTATATATCTTTACGTTTCAGAGGTTTCTGAATATTTTGGCATACCTTAGAAAAATGGATGTGTGTATATGTGTGTGTGTGCGCGTGTGTGTGTGTGTGGATACAACTTTTCGTCGACGATTTCGGGAACACCGATCAACCGATTTGAATAATTCAAAAAACATTCCATTCGTATTAATAAGGAGACGTGCTGATTAGTTTTTGACGAAGGCAGGTCTAGCCGTTCCAATGATACGGGGCAAAAAGTGCCATAAATGGTAACTCAGTTTTAAGAGAACGGAGCGTCCGATTTGAATAATTCAACATTTTAGTATTAACAAGATGAAGAACTGATCAAATCTTCATAAAGGCAGCTCTAGCGGTTTCGGAGATCTAGTAAGAAAAGTAAAAAAAGCCTTTTGACGGTCAAAAATGATCATTAGACATATGTACATAAAATTTTCAAGTACTCTATAGAGATTTCAACAATAAGTAATTTTGTTTACATTCCTAAGGGTTCCGTACCAATGTTTATTCGTTAGACGGCAACGCGACGCTTACGCGCTTCGATATTTCGTCTATATGCAGTTAAAGCAGTACGATTGCTTTGTAAAAAAGTTCAGAATTTCCAAAATATTTTAAAATAAATGATTTAATATGGTTCGAAATTCTATTAAAAGTTTCAAATCATTGATCAACTTTTATTGATTATTATTGATTATTTTGAATTACTCGAATTATTTTGAATTGCGGTACGGGAAGTTCCAGCAATTTGCCTTAAGACAGAATTCCACTTACAGCTAGTTTTCACTTACATTGGTCTACGTCCTGCGAGTCGGAGCAGCAGGTCCACAAATAATCCGGGAATCAGGTTGAACAAAATGAACTGTAAAGATAATTGAAATTGTTGTTATAGTGAATATTGGCTTAGGGATTGTTCAAGTATTACGTAAGCAGATTTTTACAATTATTTACCCCCCCCCACCCCCTTTGTTAGCAAAAGTAAGCAAAGCTCCTACCCCCTCCCCCCATGCTTACGTAAACATTTTGCAATTAATGTATACAAATTTTCGTCGACGATTTCGAGAACATGGATGAAGTGATTTGAATAATTCAAAGAACATTCGATTCGTATTGATAAGGAGACGTGCTGATTAGTTTTGACGAAGGCAGGTCTAGCCGTTCCAATGATACGGGGCAAAAAGTGCCAAAAACAGTAACTCAGTTTTTAAGAGAACGGTGAGTCCGATTGGAATAATCCAAAAAACATTATACTTGCATTAACAAGATGAAGAACTGATCAAATTTCCATGAAGGCAGGTGTAGCGGTTTCGGAGATCTAGTAACTAAAAGAAATGCCATCTGGCCGTCAAAAATAATCATTAGACATATGCACATCAAATTATAAGATATTTTATAGAGATTTTAACAATAAGTATATATTTGGTTTACATTCCTATGGGTTCCGTACCAATGTTTATTCATTAGACGGCGACGCGTTTCGATATTTCGTTTCGCAGTACGATTGCTTTGAAAAAAAGTTCAGAATTTCCATTTTATATAACTATATATTTTTATATTGCTATTTTTATATAACATGTAAATTCGATGTTTAGTATGGCTTTGCTGTAACAAAAATATTTAAGTTTTTTAAATAAAACCTTAAAAAACAATTCTCTGAAAGTTGTATCTCTTAATATTAACGTTTAGATAGAGCGCAATTCAATCAAAGTTTTGTATGGAAATAGCATGGAAAAATTTTCAAAAATTTTAAAAATGTTTTTTAGATGTAATTTAAAGAACAAATGAATGAATAAAACTCTTTCATTTGTCGCTAAGTTATACCTAAAACATTTTTTTTTAACTTTCAAATTTTTTTCCATGCTCTTTTCATACAAACTTTGATTGAATTGCAAACACTAAACGTTAATATTAAGAGCTAAAACTTTCAGAGAATTGTTTTTTATCTATTTGGAACCATTTGAGCCCCTGGGAGCAATGAAATTCGAAAATGACCATTTTAAGGACCACCCTAATATATATATATATATATATATATATATATATATATATATAAAATAAATGTGACAATTCACATTTATTTTTATTCATTAAACCAGTTGACAACGTAACGTCAACTTGACTTTTATAAGAACAAACTTAATATTACCAACTTTCAATGAAACAGTTATTTCAACTATGTTTCTTAACGTTGCCAACGTTGAATCGTTAAAAATAACTTTGACTTCAGTTTCATGTCAAATATTTTACATGTTGTCCGTTTCAGGACAGTTGTAAAAATTATTAAAAAAAAAAAAAACTATGACGTAATCATCATCTAGACCCCCCTGCCCCCATGTCACCCAAAATAAGCAAATCAATAACCCCCGCGCCCCCCTAAAGTGCTTACGTAATACTTCAACGGCCCCTTATCGTATAATGAATATACACAATAATAATTTAATTTGTTCAAATTTTATCTGATTGACGCGAAGCTTCTTGAACTCCAGAAATCCTCTGAAATTTCTCGGTTTTGCCAAAACTCTTGAAGCGATATTGAAAATACAAAAACCATTCACTACTTTGTAGCAACTTGTCCTTCTTACCTTTATCCTGAATTCGATCATACTCTCGACGGCTTCTGTCTTGGGGTGAAATATGGCATTAGGCAAAGGTCTCGCCTTGACAACCGCCAAACCGGCATCTATCATCTGGCGTTGGGTCACGAAAACCCTTTCTTGCACGGAGCAATTGTAGACGGGCAGTCGGAGTGACGTCTCTCTGGGATAATATAGTAATTGATACATGTATTATTGATAATTGATTTTGGGTTGGTTTTTGTGATCTATTTACGGTTGGACTGCTTTGCACCACAGTGCGACCAGCATCGCCTTGGTGATGACGTCCACGGGCATGTAGTCTAGGATGTTATCGTTTCTTGTATAGATAGTTCGGAGGATACCTTGGTAATAGAAAAAAGAGTGAAGTAAAACTTATTTTCTACTGTACAAGATGGAATTTGAGTTAAAAATTAATACATCATATAACGATTTTGAATAATGTTTATTAGTTATATTAGGTAACACTCGTGATGCACACATTTATTAGTGTCGTCAATCATTATACACATTTATATAATGATAAATTATAAATTATATATTTATGATTGCATTAAAAATATGTATAATATTTACAAACAATAATGTAATCAAAGTCGCACTTGAAATATGACATGATCGTTTTAAAATAATTGCTGATTAATAAATTCTATAATATTCATTCACACAGTGGATTATGTTAAACAACGCCTAAACAAATATTGTTTTTGCAAATTAACTCATCCTGTAAGAATTGTGTTTGAAGAACTTCATGTAATTAAAATTAACATACATTCATTGACAGCTTGTATTTTTTTTTTACTTTTTCGCTGGCGATATAATCCCATTCTTTGAACAGCTGTAATATCTGTCTCGCCTCTATTCACATACACGACGACTAATCACAATCGACCCGTATAGGAATGATCTGATCGAAAGTGAATGACGAACAGTTCGGGCATAACGTACTTTCGTTGCATTTGTACGGATTTACACCCTGTCGCGCCTAAAGAAGTTTTACTTCAAAAACTGTTATTGTTTTAATACCATTGGGTGTAAACACAGAACAAATGTGCTTTACTTTTGTTTTGCTTTTTTTCTCACTCGGCTTTGATAAAACTTATTTGGTGTAATTGTTTATTGTATCTCGTACAAGTTCAAATATTAGTTTAAGAAATTTGTCTCATGATAAATTTTAAACAATATTGTCTAGCACTATAAGTCTCTATAGTAACTTCGTATTCTTCTAAAATTATATCAGAAATGAAACTAGTGGTGTATGGCATTGTGCCTTAAGGCAAATTGCTGGAACTTCCCGTACCGTAATGAAATATTCGAGAGATTTTAAACGTTTTCAAATATATTATTACAAATACTGTAACTTTCATTATTTTTGCTATCTTGTTATATCTGAGCAAATCAAATGTAAATCATGAATCAATTTATCTCCAGAACATTAATCGTCAATTGTCATTTCATTTCGAAATTAATTTAAAAAAAAAAAAATAGTTGCTGATTTACACAAAATTGAGAAAGTGATCCCGTATAGTCACAGTCTAAACGCATTTGCAAATAATTCTGTGCGACATTTTTACTTATACTGTGCTTAGCTTGGCGGCATTTTCACATTTTTCAATAGTTTTCACAAAATTGGAAAAGTGCTCCCGTACATAAACAGTCTAAACGCACTTGGGTAATCATTTGTACCAGAGTGGCGCTTAGACTGTGCTTAGCCTGGGTAATTTTTTGAATTTTTAATCCAAAATAACAAAAATATTTTATGGAAAATAAAAAAAGATGTAATAATTTTTTATCTTCAAAAGCAATTGTTTTGTCAATACGAAAAGAAAGTTTTTTAGATCATTCAAATCGGACGCTTAGCTACTTAAAAACTGCCATTTTTTGCACATTTAGCTCTGTATCTTCGAAATGGTGGAACCTGCCTTTTCCAAAAACTAATCAGCACATCTGCCCATCAATAGGAATCGAATGTTTTTTAAACAGTTTAAATTGGTTGATCTGTGCGCCCGAAAACGTGGACGAAAAAATGCGGACATACAAAACACACACACATCTATTTAGTTTCTGAGGTACGCCCCTTAAAAATGTTCAGAAACCTTGAAAACGTCGAGAAATGCAAAAAATTTCGTTTTCGATTTTCGGCCTATTACTATAACTACCCTACGGGAAGTTAATTAAAGAAAACAAGTATTACCTTTTCCGACTCCTAAACAAATTCCAATAGGCCCATTGTAGTTGTCGTTCCAGCCTGGTATCGGATCTTTCCACGTGGAAATCACTTGAAACGAAACAAAATTTGAACAACTTAGCATTTTTTACAATTTTGTATTCAATTTTACCTATTCCTGGTCTGAACAAAACCAGAGGCAACCTGTGACTATAATCATCCACAACGTTTTCTGCCAAATGCTTCGTCAGCAAGTACGTATTATGCAAATCCCCAATGTACCTAAAACAAAATTCAGTAAACTTTTGTCAACATTAGGATTTATACAAAAACCGACATTTCAGAAAACCGGTTTTCGAATTTTAATTTTACTAAAAAACCGGTTTTAACCGGTTTTCGAATTTTATATAGAAAATAAATTTTTGCTCGAATATTCTGTAATTTATCCGCAAAAGTGTAATTTAGAGCAGTATTTGACTGAGTTTATTTATTGTTCAATTTTATAGATAGTAAACAAAATTATTTTAATTTTAATTAGTAGAACTAAAGAATAATAGTTTATCTTGATTAAATATCTTTGAAAATAATTATTCGTTGTTCATGCATCATTTGCACATATAAGAATGAAAATATTTTTATGATAGTGAAAGGAAAGTTTTCGAATAAATAAAATTTATACATTAATGAATAACAAAAATTCATTAAATTAAAAATAAAAAAACATATTTACATACATGTTATATTAGATAAATATTAGATACATACTTGTTAATATCAATTTTAGTTCTAAAAACAATTAAGCTAAACTCGAGTATTGTCTGTTCCGAGCAATTGTAATTAATTAATTTTAAACATTTTAATTGTTTTTTTGTTTAATAAAATATTATATCAAGAAACTGAGAACATCTATCGAATTGCTACTTAGACGTGTCCTTTGTTTACTCACAAAAATTCTTGAAATAGAAAATACTCTCATACTTGCGACCAAATCATGCTTAATTGTTTTTAATGTCTGATATAATAATTCTAAGCTTTTTGTTTTTTTATTTGTGACTTCTAGGGTTTAAAACTCTTTTTTTATCAGTTTGAGTAGATGAAGTTATTTCTTCAAGAAGTCGCACTGATTTAAATTAAAATATACGAGGTGTGTTCAAAAAGTACCCGGAATTACTAATAATTAAATTTCGCGGGTCTGGAGTGTCTGATTGTCAAAATTTTTTTTTTATTGTGTTGGTATATACATGCCCCTAAAGTATGATGAAATTTTCAGCTATATTCACTGTTTACTTTGTCTGTGGTTGTCGCTAAAGGTTCGACGTGTTTTTCTGAGCTCGGCGATTTTTACAATGGAAGAATTGAAAAGTCAAAGAATTTGTATTTGTACCAGATATGGCTCCGTGTGACTTTTTCCTATTCCCAAAGTTGAAGAGACCCATGAAAGGACGGCGGTTTTCCTCGATTGAAGAAAATCGCCGAGAGTGCTCAAGGACATATCAAAAAGTGAATATCAAGGGTGCTTCGAAAATTGGAAAAAACGCTGGCATAAGTGCATTATATCTGGGGGGGAATACTTTGAAGGGGACCACATTAATGTAGACGAATAAATAAATTTTTTTTTTGAAAAAACGAAAATTCCGGGTACTTTTTGAACAGACCTCGTACTCTGGTATAAAAATCTAAATTAATACGAGTATATACAAAATCTTTTCTGGGAGCCATTGCGTACTGATAAGATATAAAATGCTACTGAACCGATATGATTTCAAGAATCAAAACGCTTTCATCTATCTTTTATATTTGGCTATGTTTGTCATTTTCCATATATACAGTGAAAACCGACTTTTTTCACTAAAAACCGGTTTTCGAATTCTATAATTTTCGTCAAAAAATCGGTTTTTGAAAACCGACAAAGTCTAGTCAAAATATCCAACTATCTTTTACCCACTTGTTGGTCAAGATATCCAATTTATATTCATCCTGGTACTGTTCCGCCAATCTGATGGCCTCTTTCCAATCTCCATGGTCCCTGTAAACTTTTTCTTCGATGACATCTTTGTCGGTGTTGCAATATGTGGTTGACACATGGACACCAACCACCAAATTGGGCATCTGCAACATCAGTTCCATCATTTCTCGAGTTCCTCGAGTGTTCATGAGGATTGCTTTTTTCAAAGGATCGTCGAACCTAAAGGATAAATGAAATTTATAAAAAAGATAAATGATTAATCTATAAATATATTAAATATAAGATTAGGTACAATGTTTTTTTATTACCTTACACTGGCGGCGGCGTGGAAGACGACGTGGGAAGTTAGTACTAGTTTTTTGTCCTGGTCGTTGAGGCCGAGTTGGAGGGATGTGACGTCGCCGGTGACGGCGAAAACTTTCTCGAAGGCTGAAGGGGTTGTGTTTCTCACCACGTCGAATAACTGAGGGTAATATGTTTAATTTGAGTTTTAAAGTTGGACGTTACATAAACAAAAAAAGTATAAGAGTTTTTAGAAATTTATTTAAAGTCCATACGTTTCGACTAGCAGCTTAGCCTTCATTCAGTGGCAATCAATCTTATATATAAAAATGAATCGCAAAATGTATTGGTAAGCGCATAACTCAACAACGCCTGGACCAATTCGGCCAATTCTTTTTTTTTTTAAAATGTTTGTTGAAGTCCAAGAATGTTCCTTACGGCGAGAAAAAATCAAATAATAGCCGGGAAAACTTTAAAAACAGCCCTTTTCTTCTTCACATACAAACGTTTTCTAACTAAAACGTTGAATCAATTTGAGCTTTATTGCTATTATATAAACTTCATATCAAATTACAAGCACTCACTGTATACTCTTTCCAAACGATGATTCGGCTTTTGATAAATTTTTCTGAAGTTTGTTAAGGAAATTTTCTATGGTGTATGTGATTATAAAGTATTGAGATGTATGTGCAATATTCTATAAATAAATGGTAAAAAACGACATGTCATAGTTTGCATTGAAAACAAATGAAAACTATCATCTGCCAAAAATTTCTATTTACTTATGAACCTAGACAATATTGGGATATGTATAATAAATTTATGATTATGAATAAGAAAAATGAAATGTCTACATAATTATTACCAAAAAGCAGCTGAGATGTGCCAGAAATTAAAACAATATAAAATACAGTATATGTATGGCAGATTAAATGATACACATATGAACAGGATATGACAAATTAATTTACTGAAATATGAAATTAGGTATTAATTAGGGCCGGTCCTACCTTAAATGCGACGCATGCGAAAAATACGAGCGCACGCCTTAGGGGGCGCCAAGACAAGATTTGGATAATAAATTTTCAAAATAGTTTTTTCTTTCAATATATAATTTCTTTGCAACTTTTACTAATCTTTCCACAATATTTTTAAAATTCGTAAAAATTTCACTTTATAACAACAAATAGGAAAGCAAAGTTGAATACATACAATTCGGCCCTCACGATATCGATTAGGAGAAGTTTAAGATGCAATTTTGGATATCTTAAATAATAAAAAATTAAATTAATTTAATCCAGCATGAAGTATTAGTGTAATGTTATGGGTATGGTTATGTTATACCGTTTAAAAGACTACAATTTCCAATATAGTGTGGGCATTGAGAATCATCATTTTATTTAAAGCTGTTCTGCATTTAACATCGCTCATATTATAAATGTATTTGCATTTTGGCATAAAGAGTAATTTAAAAAACAATAATTATTATTTTTAAATAAATGGTAAATATTAGTATATTATATTAAAAAATTATAGACATGGGTACAGGACAACGTTTGTCGGGTCATCTAGTTTAACTATAAAAATTGAAACTAAATAAATAATATAATAAGAAAGAATAATATAGTAAGAAATTTTACAGAAAAACAATAATGATAATAATAATAATAATAAATATTTTTGTCACGTGTTTGTTAATTTGAGTTGTAGTCAATCATTTTTAACAGCAATCAGAACTTCACTCACTATGAGCTGTTGAGCTAACTAATTATTTTAGATGAGTAGTAATACAATGTAACAATTTTTATAAGAGATACTGGAGAGATTCCATCAATTGATGTATTTGCAATAAAACACGATTTGCCTTTATTTAGTTGTTTACTAGGGACGTGTATACTTTGGTATAATCTTGTTCAGGTATTTTATTACTCGCTAAAGTTTGTACTTAAGTAACTTGGTGTTAATTTAGTCGATTGTTCTTTTAGTTTATATATATATATATATATATATATATATATATATATAATATGACTATTTCCTTACCTTGTTTTCTAAAATTTCCTGAACCCTGTTTGCGGCCGTCTTTCCCCGTTTAGGCCGAATCAGCAGATAAATTGCCTCCAAGTCAGGGCAAGATCTAAGCAGCTTCTCGATTATACATTTTCCCATAAAACCTATGCAAATTTATATATTTTTAAATTAATTATTATAAAATATGAACTTACGATATTGTTTTTACCACTGTTTATTATTAGGTATGTTAAATTTTACAAACGTTTCGAGACTTGGTTTGTTTCATCATTAGTGAAATAATTTTATATTTAATCGTTAAAATGTTGATCGGATTGTTTGTGATATCATCGGATGCACGACTTATGACTTAGTAGTTCTAAATTTTCGAGATATTTCTAAATTTTAGATACAGGTCTTATTTCTAGAGACAGTTTTAAATTTTGGAGGTAGTTCTAAATTTTGAAGATGATTTTAAATTTAAGAGATGGTTTTAAATTTTAAAAAACTTCTAAATTTTTAGTTAGGTAGATTTAAATTTTTGAGAATAAGTTAGAATCATCTCTAAAATTTTGCAGTTTTAAGTTTTAGAGATAAGTTTAGAATTATCTCTAAAATTTTAGATTTCTAAATTAATTTCAAAGATAGTTCTGAATTTTGTGAATAATTCTAAATTTAGATGATTCTAAATTGTAGAGAAGATACTTAATTTTAGAGATAAAATTGAAATTTGGATGAAGTTCTAAATTTTAGACATGGTTTTAAATTTTAGAGATGGTTTTAAATTTTAAAGATAGATCTAATAGTTTTAAATTCTAGAGAATCATTTAGAATTATTTGTAAAATTTTCGAGTTCTAAGTTTTATAGATAAATTTAGAATTATCTCCAAAATTTTAGAGTTCTAAATTAATTTTAGAGATAGTTCTAAATTTTAAAGATAGTTTTAAATTTTAGACATGGTTCTACATCTTGGAAATAATTTTAAATTTTAGAGTTAGTGCTAAATTTTAGAGGTGATTCTATATTTTTTAGACTAATTCTAAATTTTAGAGATAAGTTTAGAACTAACTCTAAAATTTTAAAATTCTAAATTAATTTTAGAGATAGTTCTAGTTTTAAATATCAGAGATTGTTCTGAATTTTAGAAATGAATCTAAATATTGAAGATGATTCTACATTTTAGAGATAATTATATAATTGAAACATAGTTTGAAATTTCAGAGATAGTTCTAAATTTCAGAGATGGTTCTAAATTTTAATAGAGACTGTTAGAGATAGATTAGATTCTAAATATGGAGATAGATTAGAGATAATTCTAAAATTTAGACGTAGTACTAAATTTTAGAGATAGTTCTAAATTTTCAAGATAGTTTTAAATTTCGGGGATTGTTTTGAATTTTAAAAAACGTTCTAAATTTTAGAGATTAATTTAGAATTATCTCTAAATTTTTAGAGTTATGAGTTTTGGAAATAAGTTTAGAACTATCTCTAAAATTTTACAATTTTGAATTAATTTTAGCGATAGTTCTAAATTTGTTTTAGATATAGTTCTAAATTGTGGAGATAGTTCTAAGTTTCAGAGGCGGTTTTAAATGTTTTAGAGGTAATTCTAAGTTTTATAAATTAATTTAGAATCACCTAAAATTTTAGAATTCTGAGTTTTAGAACTATCTCTAAAGTTTTGGAGTTGTAAATCAATTTTCGAGGCAGTTCTAAATTTTTAGATATAGTTTTAAGTTTTAGATATGATTCTAAATTTTAAAGATGACTCTAAATTTCAGAGATGGTTCTATTAGTAGAGATAGTTCCAAATTTTTGTTAGAGATTGTTCTAAATTTTAGTTGAGTTAATTCTAAATTTTAGAGATGGTTTTAAATTTTAGAGATGGTTCTGAATTTTATATATATGTAGTTACAGATTTTAGGCATAGTTATATATTTAGGAGATAGTTCTGAATTATATAGATAGTTTTAAATTTTAGAGAAGGTTCTGAATTTTAGAAATAGTTCTAAATGTTTTAGAGGTAATTATAAATTCTAGAGATTAATTTAGAATCATCTTTAAAATATATATATATATATATATATATATATATATTAAGTTTTTGGACTTACCACTTCCTCCAGTAATAAAAATGGTTTTATCCACAAAAAACTGCGGTATATTTATAGCGTCCATCATCGATTATAAATATACTACTAAATATAACAATTAAACAATTAACAAATCTATTATTACTATTTATTAATACAAACTAAATATTTAAAAAAAAATATTAAAATTTTTCTCTATCCATTTATGTCCTCGCCATGGCGTTCGTCGCCCGACTGACTCCGTTCGCCCGAACGTTTAATTCGATTTATTTTTTTTCAAAAACAAAATATAAAAAATATTGATTGATTGTTTCAATAATTTATTCGCCAAATAAACGCTTATGACAATCAACTTTTTTCGGGAGCGCCCCGTCCGAGGTCACGATCTTTTCTTTATATTTAAGGGGGCATTGTCTGGATATGAAAATCGGTAAAATATTCATTCTGATTATATATGTATTTACTAGATGACCCGACAGACGTTGTCCTGTACCCATGTCTACATTTTTTTAATATCCTATACTAATATTTACCGTTTACCTAAAAATAATAATTATTGTTTTTTAAATTACTCTTCACGCCAAAATGCAAATAAATTTATAATATGAGCGATGTTAAATGTAGAACTGCCTTAAATAGAATGATGAGTCTCAATTCCCACACTATATTGGAAATTGAAGTCTTTTAAACGGTAAAACATAACCATAATCATAGCATAACACTGTTACTTTATGTTGAATTAAATTAATTTAATTTTATATCATTTAACTTATCCAAAATTGCATCTTAAACTTCTCCTAATCGATATCGTTAGGGCCGAATTGTATGTATTCATCTTTACTTTCCCATTTGTTGTTATAAAGTGAAATTTTTACGAATTTTAAAAATATTGTGGAAAGATTAGTAAAAGATGCGAAGAAATTATATACTGAAAAAAAAACTCTATTGAAAATTTAATATCCGAATCTTGTGTTGGCGCCCCCTAAGGCGTGCGCTCGCATTTTTCGCATGCATCGCATTAAAGGTAGGACCGGCCCTGATTAATACTTAATTTCATATTTTAAGTGAATTAATTTGTCATATCCTGTTCTTATGTGTATCATTCAATCTGCCATACAGATACTGTATCTTATATTATTTTAATTTTTGGCACATCTCAGCTGCATTTAGGAAATAATAATTATTTATTATACATATTCTAATATTGTTTGGGTTCATAAGTAAATTGAAATTTTTGGCAGATGATAGTTTTCATTTGTTTTCAATGCAAACAATGACATGTCGTTTTTTGCATTTTTTTTCTATTTATTTCTACAATATTGCACATACATCCCAGTACTTTATAATCACGTACATCCTAGAAAATTTCCTTAACAAACTTCAGAAAGATTCATCAAAATCCGAATAATCGTTTAGGAGGAGTATACAGTGAGTGCTTGTAATTTAGTATGAACTTTATATAATAGCAATAAAGCTCAAATTGATTCAACGTTTTGGTTAGAAAACGTTTGTATGTGAAAAAGAAAAGGGCTGTTTTTAGAGTTTTCCCGGCAATTACTCGATTTTTTCTCGCCGTAAGAACCATCCTTGGACTTGAACGAACATTTAAAAAAAAAATTGGTCAAATTGGTCTAGGCGTTCTTGAGTGTCTTACCAACACATTTTGCGATCCATTTTTATATATAAGAAGATTTGGGTGAACTTATTTGTGTTGATATGAAGGAGTTATTTTTCTTCAACTTAAGGTGTAACGAGAAAAACCAAATTGATTATTTTATGTTTCAAGTCATCATTTGATAATGAAATTATCAATTATCAAGGGCTGCATCCCTCGACCATTTTTAACACTTACGGGACGGCACCGAATTTAAAACAATCTATTCCACCGGCTGTAAACTTGATTTCATTGTGTATGTTATGCAATTTGTTTGATAAAAATTTGTGGTCATTGAAGGACATACATTTATATTATTAATTTATTTTTGATCATTTTATAAAGAATGGTGACCAATGTTCAAAACAATTTCCAAAATGCATAGCTGGTTGATTTGGACATGTTTTACAATAAAATGTGTTTGCCGCTTTCCTCCCATTGCTTTTCTGTCAGAACAAACAATACAATCTTTTTTTCTTTCTTTTGCATTTAGAATATGCCACTGATTAGTCAGTATATTTGTTCATTTTCGTGCTGCGATAATGATTTGTTTTTTCTATTATATTGTCAATTAATTCATTTGTAAAATATAAAGTAAAATAATCTATTGGACGTCTTATATTGCTTGGTATTTGTAGTCGGGGTGTTTGTTAATGTATGTCAAACTCGATTATTGAAGGAGAATCGGCACATTCGCTAATGGCTAATGCCTTTCCACTCTTCATTTAATTTGTCGAACTTCTTCTTCTTTTTGTTGGTTGGATAATATCTTCATCACATTCATCACTCTCTTTGATGCGAATAGTAAATTCATGAAATTTGTCTGTATGAATGTCTATTTGAAACTCATCTTCACTACTGCTTAATTTACAAAATTTACCAGTCGTTTTGTCATATTTAAAAGCGCTCGGTCGTTTTAAATAATAAAAAAAGACCATATAGCATAGAAAAGGGCTATAAATACTACTAAAATAACTTAAAATTATTTTCAAAATACAATACCGATTATCAATGCTATATGTAATTTATTCAACTTTTCGATGCAAACTGAGTCATTGTTTATAAAATAGCCGGTGCCTCACAGAGTTTGTTTGTCCACTCAGGTGGACAGCCGTCCCCAAAGTGTTAATAATCTCAATCGATATAGATAAAACGATCTATTGAATTCAAAATCTCTTTATTAATTAATCATGTACAGTTACACTATCTCAGATATCTTCCAGAGGCCTAAAGCAAGAGTCAGAATTACTACAATCCTTCAGCAAAATACATCATCATATCGATCTGTCTCATGGCCTTCTTTTGGCTCTCCGGCTTCAAATCTCTCAATCTCGATTCCAAACGTTTGCAGAAATAATGACAATTGTCCTGGACGACAGGAGGTATCACCTCGTGTTGCAAAACCTCAATTGTTGGGAAAACCATCGACGGTTTGCGAACGGTGTCTGGAGTTCGCGAATAAATCATTGGAGACACTGGAGGCTCTGCATTTTTCGAGGTCTGGACTGATTTCTTATACATGACTTCTTTGGCTTTTAGTTCTTGAATCTTGGGAAAAGAGATAGAGGAATTAATAGCAAACTGGCAAAAATCGGAAATGATTTTTTTTTGTAAATCTTTTGATTCGAATTCTTCTAAACATTTTGACGTACTTTAGAAAAAATGGGTGTATGTATGTCCGCATTCAAATTGTTGTCGATGATTTAGAGAGCACAGCTTAATCGATTTGTTATTTGCATTCGATTTCATGGGGGACGTGCTGATTAGTTTTTGGCTGAGGCAGATTCTGTTCTTTTGGAGATATAAAAGTGCAATTCAGTGAGATGAAGCATCCGATTAGAATGATTTAAAACACATTTTATTTGTATGAGGAATTGTTTACATTTTTGCGAAAGCAGACATGGGGAGCTATCTTTGTATATTGCTCTATTTTAGCACGGATTAATATATTAAGAGATCAAAAGATATGGCTACTACTTTCAATTTCATTGATCGGAAAAAATAGATGGCTGCACTACAAATCTTTCGTTCATTCTGAGGAAAACCCATTGGAATTTCAAACATTTTCATTTTTAAATTATTAGGTTTTCTTATGCTGTATTACCTACTGTACGAATCATACCTAGATTTACATACTGTACGCGTGCTGCCATCTTTTGATATTTTCGTAAATTAAAATGAAAGGTAAAATAAAGGACAAGGGTAAAAGTGTAGAATCTAGTAAAAAAACTAGTGCTGGAACTTCCCGTACTAAAAATCATTATTTTTTAAAAAAGATTAACATTTTTGAAACAAATTTACTCTGAAAAAAAAATTTTGACGAAAAATTACTTTTTTTTGAAAAAAAAAACTTTTTGAAGAAAAATTTATTTTGAAATATTTTGGAAATTTTGAACTTTCTTTCAAAGCAATCGTACTGCTTTAACTGCATAGAGACGAAATATCAAAGCGCGTAAGCGCCGTGCCGCCGTCTAAAGGATAAGCGTTGGTACGGAACCCATCGGAATGTAAACAAAATTTATACTTATTGTTAAAATCTCTATAAAATATCTGATAATTTGATGTGATTTTTTTACTTTTTCTTCCATATCTCCAAAGTCGTTGGACCTTCCTTTTCAAGGAAGTCCTAGTCAATACAAATAAAATGTTTTTTGAATTATTCAATTATTTTGCCCCGTATATTCGGAACGGCTGGACCTTCCTTCGCCAAAAACTAATCAGCATGTCTCTTTGTCAATACGGATCGAATGTTTTTTGAATTATTCAAATCGCTTCATCCGTGTTCCCGAAATCGTCGACGAAAATTTGTATCCGAACACACACACATACATCCATCTAAGGTATGCCAAAATATTCAGAAACCTCTGAAACGTAAAGATATATAAAAATTTTCATTTTCGACTTTTTTGCCATTACTACAACTTGCCCTACGGGTGTTAAAAAAAAAATAAAAATTAGAGACAGTCCTGAATTTTAGACATTGTTCTAAATTTTAGACATAGTTTCAAATTTTGGAAATAGTTCTAAATTTCAGAGATGGTTTTAAATTTTAGAGATAGTTCTAAATTCTAGATAGTAATTTCTCTATAAAATATCTGATAATTAGATGTGCATATGTCTAATGATCATTTTTGGCCGCAAAATGTCTTTTGTTTTAACTTTCCGTAGGAAGTTATTCGATTATTCAAAAAACATTCGATTCGTATTGATAAGGAGACGTGCTGATTAGTTTTTGGCAAAGGCAGGTCTAGCCGTTCCGAAGATCCAGGGCAAAAAGTGCCAAAAATAGAAATTGATTTTTTGAAAGAACTGTGGTGCGTCCGATTTAAATAATTCAAAAAACGTTTTATTTGTATTGACGAAATGAAGAACTGATGAATTTTTGGGAAGGCAGGTCTAGCGATTTCGGAGATCTATTTAAAAAAATGGAAACGATGCCAATTGGCGGGCAAAAATGTACAATAGACATATGCACATCAAATTATCATGTATTTTATAGATATTTTAATAATAAGGACAAATTTTGTTCACTTTTCTATGGGTTCCGCACCAGTGTTTATCCGTTATATTGCGACGCGGCTCCCAAGCGCTTCTATATTTTGCTTCTACGTAGCTATGCTTTGAAAAACAGTTCAAATTTTTTAAAATATTTCAAAGTATAAAAAAATTATAAACAAATTTTCCAAAAAGGTCAATTTTTTAATAATTTTTTTTTTAATCTCAAATATCGATTTTTTTCGGAATTCTAAAAGAAAATTTAATCTTTTTTGATGATTTAAATTTTTGGTACGGGAAGTTCCAGCAATTTGCCTTAAGTTACAGTAACAGCTTTGTTACTACCGACACTAATAACCAAAATCAAGAAAATATGATTTATCACAATAAAACAGCGCACCAAAAATAGCAAATCAATTATCACAAACTATTATTATTGTCACAACACTTACAGTTTGGTAAACACTGTCATCCTTTATCCCTCCAAGAAATCCATCCTTATCGAAATAATGATAAAAATGCCATTGAGATTGATAAATCTCGTCATTCTTTTTGGAATCCTTAACGACATCCTTTTCCTTTTCATATTTCTTCAGAAAAAGCATCATTTCGTTCTCAACTTCTTCTTTAGTCAAACCAAATTTTTTCGCAATTAATTCCCAAGCATCGTGCGTTCCTTTCTTATCTTTATAGCCGGCATTTTTGGAATCCCATAATATTCTTTTCTTTTCGAATCGTTTTATTAGCTTCAATCTTGAAGCATCTGTCCACTCGTAGACCATTTCAGGAAAAAAAATGATAGAGGACAAATTTGAGAACGGAATTAAATTAAATAGAAAAGTGCGCGCGTTTGCGAATGAAATTATTTTGTATCAACTTATAATGCATTATCTCTTGATTTAGAGATAAAGACGGCGTTTGATAAACAGAGTGACACATCGATGATGATTAAACTGTTACTAATTACTGAATTTGAAATATATTATTTAAACAAGGTGTAAGTCGCATTTTGCCTTAAGGCATGATTCTGCCGCATTACAGAAAAATGTTATGGCAAAGCCATGTTACGCTTCAACTTTCATACATGATGCTACTGAATCATACTGAATACTGTCGAAATGTCATGTATAGCAAATACAGGCGTTTTACACATAAACTGCAACGTCACTCGTATGTTATGAAGCCGAGTCAGAAAGACCCTGTTTTCTAAGTGAGAGAAGTGTTTTCTAAGACATTTGTGTGGTTTCTTGGTTTGGTTTTCCATCTGAGAAATGTGCACAGCAACCACATGGCTTTGTCGAGATTTAGTATGGAAAGTTCTCCAAAACATGGCCTTACCATAACATTTTTCTGTTATGCGGCAGAATCGGTCCCTAAATCAACTAGTGGTGCATGGCATCGTGCCTTAAGGTAAATTGCTGTAACTTCCCGTACCAAAAATTAATTTTTTTTATAAAGATTCAATTTTCTTTTAGAAAAAATCGATTTTTGAGATTTTTCAAATTTCTGATAAAAAATTGATATTTTTGAAAAAATTGTTTTTTTTATACTTTGAAATATTTTGTAAATTTCGAAATGTTTCTCGAAGCGATCGCACTGTTTTAGCTGCATAGAGACAAACTATAGAAGCGCGTAAGCGCCGCGCCGCCGTCTTACGGGCAAACTATGTTACGGAACCCATAGAAATGTAAACAAAATTGATACACATTATTAAAATCTTCATAAAATATATAATAATTTGATGTATACATGACCACTTTTGACCTCGAAATGGCATTTTTTTTACTTCTTCCACTATATCTCCGAAACCGCTAGACCTGCCTTCCCAAAAATTTAGTCAGTCAGACAAAAATATATTTATTTATTTTCAAGGAAAAGTTTGTTTTCGCAAGAAAATCCGATTTGCTAATTTCATCGACGTTCCAAGTCGTGTCTATGTATGTCGGTTTTTTGTCGATTTTAGAAGTTCTTCTATTTAACGAAAATATACTTTGACGCATACTAAACTAGGTCTTTTGTCTGGGTATGGCGAGCTCTGTACCGCCTGAGTATAATTCAAATTGTAATTAATTTTTATAATTAAACCATTTTTCGCAGGCCTCTAACATTTCAGGCTGTTCGTTAAGGCAAAAATATTAAGTTCTCGAAGGAAAAGTTTGTTTTTGCAAGAAAATCCGATTTGCTAATTTTATGTTTTATCGACGTTTCAAATCGTGTGTATATGTGTCAATATTTGACTTTTCATAGACTTTCTCAAAAACCACTGGACCGATTTCAAAAAGTTTTTTCCATATAGCGAAGTAAATACTAAATAAAAGCTATTACGCATACTAAACTAGGTCTTTTGTCTATAATTTTGTATAATGCGTTCGGGTATAATACTGATTGAATACACCACTTTTTTTTGTTTCTTGTCTCTATCGAAACTGCAGTTTTGCAAGAATTTATGGGGGGAGAATCTAGAATGCTAGGATTTTCTTTTTTAATTATACTTTGTTAACTCATCGCAGGGTAAGTTATAGTAAAAAAAATCGAAAATGAAAATTTTTATATCAAGGGTTTTTGGCATACCTTAGAAAAAATGGATGTGTGTGCCTGTGTGCGGATACAAATGTTTGTCGACGATTTTAGGAACACCGATCAACCTATTTGAATAATTCAAAAAACATTCGATTCGTATTGATAAGGAGACGTGCTGATTAATTTTTGGCGAAGGCAGGTCGAGCCGTTTCGGAGATACGGGGCAAAAAGTGCCAAAAACGGTAACTCAGTTTTGAAGAAAACGGAGCGTCCGATTTTAATAATTCAAAAAACATTTTACTTGTATTGACAAGATGAAAAACTGATTAAATTTTTGTAAAGGCAGGTCCAGCGGTTATGGACTTTCAATAAAAATAGGTTAAAAAAAAAGCCATTTGGCGGTCATAAATGTTTATTGGATATATGTACATCAAATTATCAGATATTTCATAGAGATTTTAACAATAAGTATACATTTTGTGTAATTTATTTTGGGTTCTGTACCAAGATTTTTAATTACGGTGCAGGCAGATTTTTAATTACGATGCCATGCTCTCTACTGCTTATTGCTTCGATTGATTACTAGATTTATCATTTCTCTAATGAAATCTTATTGTTTTTTTAACTACAGATGATTTTCCTCAGAGATAGGGTGATCACTGCAAACGTGTTTTTCGAAAGGGGCTCTCGCAGATCTGAATATGAATATAGCTAAAAAATGCCTTTCTATGGTATAGATTTTTGTATCGATACATTTCATAGTTTTTACAGATTTTTTTTTTGCCTTTGGTATGTAACCCAAAATGCTACTTTCAGCTAATTTCAAATTTCCCGCTTCAATCTCAAATTGTTTCATCTTTTCTCCGCGCATTGGCAGACGTTTGTCTGTGAACAACTTCATTGTTATTGTTAGTTTCAAAGTGAATTCAAAAATAGTGTGCTTAAAATTAAACAAAATACATATAATATCACAATATCATTTAACCGATCGTTGAAAAATGAATAGCTTTCTTTCTAAAGACATCCAAGAAATATATTCGATCATTCCTCAAAAATCAAAACAAGAAACTAACAAAAACTGCAAGTACATAACCTCAAATTTTACCTTGGACTGGTCTTTGATAAAAACAGACTTTAAAATTACTTTTAACACAGAAATAAATCACGACTGGTTTAAAACAGCAATCACTGACTTATCTATTATTATAATACAATCTGAGAAAGCTATTCAAGAAGCAGATGTAAATGTTATATTGCACAATTGTTTGTGGACAAATCGAGTACAAGATATTGAGAGGTGTTTGAAGAAGTATTTGGATAACAAGAATAATGTGGATAATGTGGAAATTATATTATTGTTGACTTGTATTATTGAACGTGCTTTGGGTGATGTCTTGTTATTGAAATGTAAATCTGTGCCGTTTTTGCTGAGGGACTTGTTGGACACTCAGGAGTTGCTGTCGATGATGGGAGAAACACCTGTAAGTAGAATAATAATCTGTAATTATATATTATACTACTAATATTGTTATTTACAATTACTTTTTCAGGTAACATTCACCAAAACTTTGCTCGGCAACCCCCAAGGTTTAAATCTCAGAAACATAGTCTGACACGGCTTTGCAAATCCTAACGAAATACACTCATCGTATCCAGCTATTTTATTTATACTACTCGCATCATTTGGAGAAATCCTAAGCAAGCACGAACTGACAAAACAAATTATACACAGACCTTTAATAAATACATATTTATCCAACATAAGTAACAATCTTGCAAGCATCGATATTGACCAAGTTTTGCCAATAATTGCACAAACAAAGTGTATTCCTGTTAGTTTCCACCCATACTGGACTCGTATAATTAATTATTACAAAACCAAACACTGGTCAAGTTGTGCACTTTTATTAATTCCACAATTTGAAAGCATGTTTAGATATATTTTTTGCACAGTCAATAACCAGCCTGATAGATTATTGACTGCAGATTGCAAAACGTTTTATACGACACTTGATGAAATTTTTGAAGAAACTGATTCGAACAAAATATACCAAGTGTATGATTACAACTATTTAAGTCTTGTGCATGATGTTTTTGTATATATATCAGGACCGAGACTACGGGATAAATTAAGTCATGGAGAGATTGATGTTGAATCTTTAGACCAAAATGTGGTAAAAGTTTTGTTAATTTTGGTATCATACGGAGTTGTGGTATTTGATAACAAGGTTTGTCCTGCGTGGTTAAAATGTGTTGAGACTTACAAATGCTTGTACCACAAAAATGCTGTATTTTTAAAACATTTGCAAGATGTTTTATTTGAAACCCAAACCTTACACAATATTTTAACACCCGAAGACTTTAAATTAAACTTAACACACAACAAATATTCAACATCCACAATCAACATATCAGCTATTTTAGACCACATCACAAATTTACCAGTATCAGTGTTCTTTCGACCAAAAATTGAAAAAGAATTAGTGACAATACTCAATCAAATTATGGAAAATCTATTTCTATCTATTAAAAATTTCAAAGACAGTTTGGATATTAAATATAAAGCTTTTGTGGAACGTACATTGAGATCTAAGAGACGTGCAACTTATCGACAGTTGTTGCAATTTTTACCAGATTTTTATGGAGCTGTTTTGAGATTTTGTGGGTTTTTGTTGCGAGTGTTTGAGATGGTGCAGGAGGATAACGAGGAGAAGACTTATACGAACTTATTAAGGTAAATTATAAATTTTTAGATAAATAATTATATGTATATGTATATATATATATATATATATATATATATATATATATTCTGATATTTTTTTCAGATTTTTAAAATCAATGCTACAATGTGCTGAAAACTTAACGAAATATTTACATTCAGAACATAATAAGTGGAATGAATCACTAACGATGATTGACAGGACTTTTGAAGACATGAAGGTAAGTGATTTGGTTTTCTAATATATACTATACTATATATATATATATATATGATAGATTTCTTGGAGGGCGTAACATCAAGTAAAAAAAGTAAAGTAAAGATTTTTTTCAAAACATCTTTATATTTCCATACGTTTCGACGTAAAATTCTACGTCATCTTCAGTGGTTCTACAATTTAAAAAAAGAAAAAAAAAACAGAAAGTAACGTTACAAATTGAATATACATAAGCAATAGTAAAAAGAAAAGTTTTAACTAAAGAGAATTGCATAAAACATTACTTACTTGAATTATTTGAATTATTTATATTATCACTAACACATATTAATATAACTTGTACAGATTAATAATTAAAGACAAGCACTAACTGTCAGTAATTTCTTTTTTTAATAAGTCAGTAATTTCTCTAATTATTAATCTGTACAAGTTATAATAATATGTGTTAGTGATAATATAAATAATTCAAGTAAGTAATGTTTTATGCAATTCTCTTTAGTTAAAACTTTTCTTTTTACTATTGCTTATGTATATTCAATTTGTAACTTTACTTTCTGTTTCTTTTTTTTTTTTTTTAAATTGTAGAACCACTGAAGATGACGTAGAATTTTACGTCGAAACGTTTGGAAATATAAAGATGTTTTGAAAAAAATCTTTACTTTACTTTTTTTACTTGATGTTACGCCCTCCAAGAAATCTATCATACATTTCAACATCAAATTTAAACATTTTCAACATATATATATATATATATATATATTATATATATATATATATATTATAGAATGGTCCTTAATATGAACATTTTCGAATTTCTTTGCTCCCAAAGACTCAAATGCTTCCAAGTTATTGAACAAAAATCCCGTGAAAGTTTTAACTCTTAATATTAACATTTAGATAGTCCGCAATTCAATTAAAAGTTTCGTATATTTATTACTAACATATATTTTCATATATTATTACTGTACAAAAATAGATAAACAATTTTTACCAAAATTGGTATAAAACAAAACATATATTATAGCACCGTACATGATGATGTTGGATGTATAATGGATGTACATCAACCTGTAAAAAAGTATTAGAATCATTAGACGCACAAAATATTATTTGATGAATTAAATTTTCTATGGTAATGGATTTCAAGTATATTATATTTCATACCTGTTGTATGACTTTCTTGCCGATTCAATGTTGATTTCTTCTTTCAATAAATATTTCGAACTACCTTCTTTCGCTTTTATCATGTATTCATACAAGTTAAAATTATCAAAGCTGAAGTGAAAATCTTTCCTAGAAAATAATTGTATACGAGGTGTGTTCAAAAAGTACCCGGAATTACTAATAATTAAATTTCGCGGGTCTGGAGTGTCTGATTGTCAAAATTTTTTTTTATTGTGTTGGTATACATGCCCCTAAAGTATGATGAAATTTTCAGCTATATTCACTGTTTACTTTGTCTGTGGTAGTCGCTAAGGTTCGACGTGTTTTTCTGAGCTCGGCGATTTTTACAATGGAAGAATTGAAAAGTCAAAGAATTTGTATTAAATTTTGCGTAAAAAATGAAATAAAGTGTTGCAAAGTGCAAAAATTCACCAGATATGGCTCCGTGTGACTTTTTCCTATTCCCAAAGTTGAAGAGACCCATGAAAGGACGGCGGTTTTCCTCGATTGAAGAAAATCGCCGAGAGTGCTCAAGGACATATCAAAAAGTGAATATCAAGGGTGCTTCGAAAATTGGAAAAAACGCTGGCATAAGTGTATTATATCTGGGGGGGACTACTTTGAAGGGGACCACATTAATGTAGACGAATAAATAAATATTTTTTTTGAAAAAACGAAAATTCCGGGTACTTTTTGAACAGTATATCATATTTGTCCATAAATATATAAGCTTTAGATTAACAAAAACGTTATTTAGAATCAGAAATTTGCGAATCAGCACCTCACTATTTATTATTCTCATGTTACCTGTCGCAATCCTTTAAATTTTTGGCCAGGGCCCAAAACTTTTCGCGCTTGAAGTCCCAGCTATTCACCGAGAAGAATGACACTGCCATCATGCCCATGTAGGCCTTTCTTGCAATCTTTTGGAACCTTCGGTAAGTGGATAAATGTAATTTTAATCTTTACATTTTCATGTTAAAGAAGCAAAAAATACCACGAAAAATTACCAAGTCACCCAAAAAAATATTTAAAAGAATTAAGCGAGGAATCTCTTACTCGAAGAATGAAAAATGGCCATACGATCTTAAATAAAATGTAAAAAAAATAAAAAAAGAGATCTCATAGGAAATAATCTTTTAAATGCATTTACACCCAGCATATTGTCTTAAAAAATGTACATTATTTTGATCGGCAATAAATCTATGTAAATAAAGAAAAATTCCTTGTCGATTTGAAATGTTATAGAAACTTAATAAGCCATATAGTTGGATGCAATTTTTTGCTTATTTTTCAAAGAAACAGGAATTATTCAACGTTAAATCACTTGCTTAATATTATAATCATTCTTTATTCATTTCATTTCGTTTGCAGCCAAATATCGTTTCGACACTGTATGTGTGATATCATTCAGCACGTTAACAAATTCTAAAAAATAGTTTTACGAATTTTATAAAATTACAAGATTACTATAAGATATTGCAAATGAAAATATCTATACATACTAATTATTATTTTTTGATCTTTAATTAATGCAAAAATGTACTGATTCAATGTGCTAAAAAGGCGGAATTACTTTTATTTAAACAAAGAGAGTTAAAAATGATAAAAACATTTTCAGCAAGTTTTATAGCATCCCAAATTTTTCTTCATACAAAATAATATCATTGTTAGTGTTAAAAGTATGATTCATACTAATGACATGTTCTGAAAGCATGGTATGTATTGGTTTGGATTTTTAATTTACAGATATTTGATCCATTCTCTTAATATTTATCTTAATATATTTGTATTATTATAATATGTATTATTAAAATTGTATTTTTAAGTCCTCCTGGAGCTACTCTGTGGACTATATGATAAATAAATATTGTGAACTTTCATCAATATAAGAACAATTGCAATCGTTACAACTCATTTTATAAATAGTATTAGCAATACGCTTATTAGGTTTTAAGACATTAAGAAAATGAATTATGATTATCGTATCGTAGGAAATGAAAATTAAGAAGAAAACAACTTTTTTTAAACAAATGTCAATTCAATGTCAATGTCAATGTCAAAATGTCATGTCAATTTTAAAAATTGTATAGATATGCTGATCTTTTTTGGTAAAAATCTTGATATATTTCTACTAACTTGATATTTTCATTTTTTATATCTTCTACTATTCTTATAATTTATTAACTTTGTAAAATATTTTTGAAGTAAAACTTCTTTAGGCGCGAATGGGGTGTAAGTCCGTACAAATGCAACGGAAGTGCGTTACGGCAGATAAGAGTCGATATAATAAGTCTCGCTCTCGATGATATCATTTCTATACGGGTCGACTGTGATTAGTCGTCGTGTATGTGAATGCAGATCTGTCATTGTATGCGTACCGATATCGACAAGGAAATCGGCATAGATAAATAACCATTTAAAGTTACATCGTAGTACAAATCTTGATTAATGAAAATGCCTGAATCAGAAGAATATTTTACCCTGTTCCTTGAATAATAAAAAAACAATTAAATAATTTGTACCGTTGTACTGAAAACGTAAGTAGTTTCTACGAATAATTAAAGTTAAATCTTTGAAATTATTAAATAGAGAAACTATTTTTTAGGCAAGACAAATATTGCAGCTGTCCAAAGAATGAAATTATATCGC